ATTGGAATAGCATAATGTTTTAACTAATTAATGCATAAAGATACTACACTAATAATTACACATATATCTATCTATCTATCTATCTATAAATACCCACATATATTTGTATTGTGATTTGATATCATAAACCTTGTCCGTAAAAAAAGTATAATGCAACCGGAGAAACTTCCGCAAGACCTAGAGGAAAATATACTCTTTCTCATTCCTTCAAAACCTCTCGGTCGATTCAGATCCGTTTGCAAACGATGGAACGATCTTTTGAACGACAAAAAGTTCATCAAGACACATTTGGCTCGTGCCCGTCCACACTTTGTCTTGCTTTCTGAATCCATGTTTTGTTCGGTGGAAGTTAATCTTGATGGTCCATCTATAAAAGTGGATAACATACCCTCCCACATTCCCGGTTATAAACATCGAGACGTCGTGAAAACCGAACACTGCGACGGGTTATTAGTTTATGTCACGGAATCAGCGGGGTACGGGGTTTGCAACCCATTGATGAAACATGTTAGATGGATCAAACCGAAACTAGTTGATTGTTGTTACAATGGGACGGGATACGACTATAGTAGACTCGATAATCATTACAATATTTATGGTTCTTATGGTGGTTATCGCGCCGAGTTGGGATCCAATACACGGAAATTGTTTGAGGACGTTGTACATATGTGGGATATCACTGCGTCAAAGTGTAGTGTATCTCTGAATGGAACTTTGTATTGGCTTTCTTTAAGTATTCAATTTACTAAGTATTTTATCCAAAGCTTTGATTTTTCGATAGAGAGTCTCAAACCTTATTGTACCATACCTGATGAACGTATGCTATGCGATGTTATAGTTCTTGCGGTTTTTATGGGAAATCGGTTTTCGATTTTAAAGCAAGAACGTGAAACAAGGAATATGGAGATTTGGGTGACAAAAAAGGCGATTAAAAATGGGAATGGGGAGGGTGTGGAGTGGATGAAGTTCATGTATGTGTCAGTTCCTACATGGTCGAGTTTAGTAGTGTATGCGCCAAGTTATTACATCGACGAGAAAAGTCACAGTCTCGTATTGTGTAGCCTTAATAACAAGGATAACACTTGCATCTATATTGCAAAGGGAGATAAGTTCTATGAAACTGAGATAAAGGACTTGGTTGGGTATAAAACACATCATCACACATATTTTCCAAGTTTGGTCCCAGTTCCTGACGATTATGTTATCCAACAATTCGGGTCATACTTTGCACTCCCCAACGAACTCTGATGTCGATGACCTCTCACCGCTCTCGGTTTTCACATATCCACCCCTCCGTCAAAATTTCACGAAAGAAACTTTTAATTAATGAACACAAATAATTATTTTGGCGGTTTACAAAGTTATTATCACTTTTAGTATACAGTATATCTGTAGATTCTGGAGTTGATATATACTGTATATATATATATATATATATATTTTTTTAAAAAAATTCTGTTTGATCAAATGTAGTCTATTTATTTAACAAGTGTCTAAATATAACATGTACATATATAATTAGTAAACAAATTCTCAGTAAAGAAATTAATCAAAATTATTGTATTCATTCACATAATGACACCAAAAAAAGAGCCAATAAAGAAGTGGGATCAGAATATTGCTGACTAATTAATTAAGTTCAAGTTTGGTGGATTTTTTTTAAAAAAAATCTTGATATATAAACAAGTTTACACAGGAATTGAAGAAATATCAAAATTAAAAACTGTGTTTTAGTATTTACCTGATACAGGGGAATATGCGTTGATTTTATTTCAAGTTTGATATTACCCTTGATGCATGTGATAAAATTACACATTGAAGAATACTTTACTAATACTCCTATCTTATGTCTAAAACCACAGTTGATGAAAGAAGTCTTATGTCTAGCTAATATAACATAGTAAGATTAGCAAGTCCTATGTCGTCGACATTGAGTACCTTAACAATGGTCGTTTGGTAAATGTAAGCCACTATCCTTACCAAAACAATTTATCTAAATATACTGATTAAGGCCGTCACTGTTATTTAGATAGGTAACAATTATCAATAAAGTGATGGTTTACATGTTAAATAACTAATTAAGGCCGTCACTGTTCCATAAAAACTTGCGATCCCTTGATAGAATCGCATTATTAAAAACTGTTAGTTCATGATTAATTTATTTTGTTCTAAATCAAAGTAATCGAATTAATTGAGAGTACGTAGACAACGTTAACAACGAAAGAGAGATGAACTAATTATTATTAATACATTACAGAAACCCATTAATTGGGCCATAAATAATCACTTATATATTAGTTTGCATGTATAAAGTTTAATGGGATTCACAATTGTCCTTCGATTTAGTTCATTTGAGCTAAATTTAGGCCCCTTTAAGACAAAAACAAAAAAAACTAATGGGATTCGATATAGTCACTAAAGTCAAGAAACTAAAGAGACTACGAATATGTATTATTTTTGTGTGTACGTGTAAAGTGTAATATTCAAATTTAGCAAAAATCAAAGTTTATGTATCTTATATTTTTTATAACTCTTATGATATGATAATATGTTTACTTAGCGTTAAAAAAATCATCATATATTTTTTTAAAAACTAAAAATGATATTTTAGGAAAAATAAAAAAGAAACATAAAAATGTGAATCCCATTAAACTTGTGATTGTGAATCCAATTAAAATGAGTACATTGTGATTTGAAATGATATGTTTCTGTATTTCCTTGAAAAAATAAAACCAAATTAACGAAAAAAATTCAGACCATATTTGAGTATTAACATTTAAATTGATTTCCATAACGAACGTGCACATTTAAATTCGAATAATAGTTATAGAAACAAATTGTTTTTAGATCTTATTGTTTAATAGATTTTCAACAAATTTAGAGTAATAGATATTGGAACTTTTAAAATTAATTCTAAAATGACAAATATCTAAATATTTGAAAATTGTTATTTGTGGTATTTCATATACAATTTATTAATATATATGGCTACCATATATCAATGATTTTATAAATTTCACAATTAACATATTATCAAATTTTCAAGATTATAAAAAAAAACTAAACAATAAATTTAATTTAAATTCTAAAATAAAAATAAATTAAGATATTAAATTTACCTGCCTACGTAAACCTAATTTTTCTTTTTTTAATTCACTCCACTTTTCCCTATAAATATATGAATAAAGTCACAAAGAATTATTAATCAACTTTTTTTAGAAAAATATTGACAAGAAAAAATAATAACTACTAAAAAGATTTAATTAAATGGTGTAAAGTTGTGTCCATAATAATCACTAATCACACTATTAATTTAAAATTGCAGATATGTAAATTTATTCGATTTTGCTTTTACAGATATTTTAAAAAACAGTAAATCAATTTCATACAATTAAATAAAAATAAATCATCATTTAGCATTTTAAAGATAAAATCAATCATCATTTCCCGATAACGTTGTTGTAGCCGGAGCCGCTCATGGAGATGATTCCTCCTACACTCAAGACGACGATGTTAGCATTTTTATTTTAGTTATTAACTTAAAACACAATGAAACCAACTCGATCTAAATGCTAACCACTAGACTACTACATATCTTTGTTATATATTGAACTTAGTTTTTGCTTTTATTTTGCATTTTTTTAGTTACTTTTTTTTTCTTTTCTTTTCCAAATCTTCAGTTGATTAGAAGTGATAAATGAATAAGAGATTAGTGTGTTTGCATCTATAAGTGCACCGGTTCAAGATATTAATTAGTGAAAGAATCGAGACCATGACGTAACATATTTTGTGTGTAAAACTTATAATAATTACATAACCACGAATCACGTGATGAAGTAAAATTAGCATGTGACCTCCAAGAAGTTATAATAATAATTCTCAATAAATTTGATATGTAGTACTATTACTTAATATTGGTTTTATATAATAAATTCTAATTTCAGTATTGCGAGATAATTGATGTGTCTAGGACTCAAAATAGTACAAGTTTTCACAAAACGGATTTTAGCTTAACTTGCAAAAATGTGTCCTCGTATAGAGTATAACTTGTACATTTTTTTTTGTTCTCCCGTAGTTTGAAATAAACGAGTTAGGTATAAAATGTGTAGTTTGAAATAAAATGTGTCCCAATATATTTCAAAGGGAGATAAGTTCCATGAAATTGAAATAAACGAGTTAGGTATAAAACTCATCATCATACAAATTTTCCAAGCTAATGTAAATGTTGAACACTAAAATTGGAAAAAATTCTCACCTGCCACCATTATACAAACCGTGTATTTGCCACTTCAAAGGGGTATCAGTGTGCCTTTGGCGACACTACTAAGGACTTAGAAGAGGAACCATTCAGTATGACCGGAGAACGCAGCTGGTGGGGATATACGGTCGATTCGGCTTGGAGCTGATATATATATAGTACCCTAAGATTACCAAGTGGCTAAGTAGTAATTATATAGAGAAAATTGTCTATAAAGAAACGGTATCTAAAATATTGCTGACTAATTAAATTCAAGGCCTCGATTGGTAACCATGATTTAGGAAAAAAATAAGAAAGAATGTGACATTCCTCTACATTCCTCAATTTTTTAACCATTTACAAGAAATCATTTTTCCACATCATTCCTCTACATTCCTCACAAAATGAGGAACAATAAAACAAAAATGTTCCTCCCCAAAATTGATGAGGAACAAATGGAACAAAAAAAAAATAATATTAAAATTCGTTTTTTATTTTAAAATAAATAAAAAATTATTTATTAATAATATTTTAATCTCATAATATAATATTTTCATATTTTTATCATGTATTGACATTAAAAAATATTTTTGATATGAATTTCATGTTAAAAAATCTTACTATACATTATTTAAAATTTGTATGGATAGTAAAACATATTTAAGAGATGTTTATATCATAAATAACAAATAAAAAATTACTATAATCTATAATAGGTTAATATAAATTATTAATTTTTAACATTAAATATTTAAATTCATTCAAAAATATATTTTAAAATTAGTGTCAAATTCATTATATATAAATTATATCTAGTATCATTATTAAAAAGTTGATTTATTTAATCAAATATATTATAAAAGATAGTGTTATTGTTTGGTTACCATTTATTATTTTGTTATTCTCTGCATGTTTTCCTTTCATTTCTTAAAAGTTGTTTATTGCGTTTCGCATTCTCAAGTTTGGTAGAAAACTATAAATTAAAAATAAAATTCTTGATATAGTTATAGTTTGTGAGTGGAGAAGAGTTATTACGATGGAGGGCTTAAAACAATTTTAATGTAAATAATTTTTCTAATAAAGTTATAAAAACTGTTTATTTTGCCAAATAACATAAAGTTAATCACTTGCGTTGAAAAACTTTAGACTCTGGAATTCATTTTTATAAATACCGTAAACCTTCTTCTGTATATTTCCATTTTTGAGGGTGTCAAATTTTAATTTCAGACTCTTCTATTACTACAAAAGAAAAAGAAAAATACTTATCTATAATCAGACTAAGTAAATTCAAGCTATTATTAGTGGTTTTATCAAACAAAGTGAACAGGAATGGTGGTATGAGACGTGTCGGTGACGATATATAGATGATTTAAGCAAAATTGGAAGATATAAAGTGAAGTCCATAGGCTTAAAAGTGAATCTCAAGTCGAGTTGAAGATTTAATATTGTATATTAACGTGATTACGTGAGGTTTAAATTGGGATCTTTTCAATATGACGATATGCTTCGTATGGATGCTTAATTAACTTACGTTAATCTTTGTGTCCGTACTATGTACCGTACGTGATTAAATTTGGTTTTATTTTGTGTGCTTTTTTCCTCTTTTTCGTATATATTTAACTTAGTTTTTGCTTTTTTTTATTAATTTTTTTTCTTTCAAATCTTCAGTTTATTAGAAGTGATAAGTGAATAAGAAATTAGTGTATCTGCATCTTTAAAGATGAATCTTGAGAGAGTAATAATGAATAGTAAAGACGTACGTTGACCTTTGGTCATGCATGGAGTTACAATAAGAGCACCGATCCAAAATGTTAGATCAATCCAAATATACACACGTATGATGTTCTAAACGTGTATAAGAGCTACATTTTTTAACAAATCTTAAGCTAAGGTTTACTTAACAAACCCTCAATAATGATGTTCTCAGCGTCTAAAATCTTTCATAACCAAAAAATAAAACCAATTTACATTATGCGATCCTTTATTACACTATGTATTGAAGTTTCAAAAATTAAAACTCCTTCATATATCAACATTATGCGATCTTTAGTTTTTTTTTTTTTTTTTGTAACTTTCTGTCCAAAACAAAAACAAGTTGCAAGGAAAAAACCAAAATCATGTCGTTCATACATGTATACATCACTCTCTTTTATCTTCTTCTTCACTCATCTCTCCTTCACTCAATCAACAACAATGGATTCCGAAGTCGCCTTCGACAAATCTCCGTATTATCGAGTCTACAAGAGTGGCCGCATCGAGCGTCTCTTAGGTGAAACAACCGTCCCACCATCTCTAACCCCTCAAAACGGCGTCGTGTCCAAAGACGTCGTCTACTCGCCGGAGAGAAACCTCTCCGTCCGCGTCTACCTCCCGTATAAAGTCTCCTCCGACTTTACCGTTAAAAAGCTCCCAATCCTCATCTACTTCCACGGTGGTGGTTTCATCATAGAGACAGCTTTTTCTCCGACTTACCATACTTTCCTCACCTCCGCCGTCGCCGCCGCTAACTGCTTAGCCATCTCGGTAGATTACCGCCGTGCACCAGAGTTTCCGATTCCGGTTCCGTACGAAGACTCATGGGATTCTATCAAATGGGTTTTCACTCATATCACCGGAACCGGACCGGAAACTTGGATAAACAAACACGGCGATTTTGAAAAAGTCTTTCTCGCCGGAGATAGCGCCGGTGGGAACATAGCTCATCACCTCACGATCCGAGCTAAAGAAGAGAGACTTTGTAGTGATGATTCTTTAATAATCTCAGGGATGATCTTGATTCATCCATATTTTTGGGGGAAGACTCCAATAGATGAGTTTGAGGTTAGGGATGTTATAAAGAGCCAAATGATCGAAGGAAGTTGGCGAATCGCGAGTCCGAATAGTAAAGATGGAGTTGATGATCCGCTGATCAATGTGGTTGGATCAGAAGACTCTGTTTTATCGGAGTTAGGTTGTGGGAAGGTTCTGGTGATGGTAGCTGGAGATGATCAGTTATATAGACAAGGTTGGTGTTACGGGGAGAAGCTGAAGAAGAGTGGATGGGAAGGTGAAGTTGAGGTTATGGAGACTAAAGATGAAAACCATGTTTTCCATTTGAGGGATCCTAAGAGTGATAATGCTCGTCAAGTTGTGTTGAAACTTGCTGAGTTTATTAATAACTAAAATTGTAATGTGGTTGCATTGCATTGCATGTTATTAATAACTAAAAATTGTAATGTGGTTCCATCTTTTTCGTTAACGATGACTTTTGGCCATACCCTTCAAATTGCGGTATCTTCGATCTTGCCACAAGTGAGATAAGAGATTCAGTGTTGATACACTTACAAGTCAATGGTTAGTTCCAGGATTTGCTTAGACTTTTGTTTATAGTTTTACTTCACTTCTGATTGAAGTACTTTTGGTTTGTTGCACTCCTTTTCTTATTTTTATTGTGATTTTGTCAACCGTTGACCTACGAACTTATGAATGCAACTCAAAGATTCATTTATTTTAGACTGAAAATTCAAGAAATTGGTGAATGGGGTTGTCTTGTCTCTAATGGGAGGCTTTTAATCAAAGTTGGTTCTTTCTTGTTCTGTCTCTCTGTTCTTTTTTTTTTTTAATTGCTTCTTCAAGAATCAAGACCGATCGCCCTTTTTCAGACCGCTTGGCTCTTTCTATTAAGTCGTGCCTTTAGCATAAACATCGTATTAGGTCTTTAAATTTTTCCTCATCGTGCAATATATTTCCACATCACGTCGTCTTGAATCTGTAGAAATTATGCATGTCAATATGTCATTCCACTTCCTTTGGATTTGTAGTTTCAGCAATGACGACGTGGATGATGACAGAAACGACGCCGTATAAGTGATTGTTGATCGTTCATGTGACAGACAACACTTGTGGTTTGAGTAAAACCGGTTTGGTTGAAAATCAAACAGGTACAAAGGGTCAATCGAAGATCATTGGTTAAGTGGCTATTATTTGGTAGGAGAGCTTGTTATTATGATAAGTTAGAATCAGAGTTAGATAAGTGCAAAGAGAGATAAGCTCTATCTAGAACTAGTCTCTCTATATATATAGCTTATTTGTACATGATGTAACTTTGTGAGAAAAACTAGTGAATTGCTTGTGCCGTCAAGCCGAGACGTAGGGTACTCATTCGGGACCTGAACTCGTTAAAGCTTTGTGTCTTTCTCTCTTATTCTCTGTTTTGATCTCTGTTCTACTATTGTTCTCTGTTTCATACAATAACAACACAAGTCTGTGTTGAAATGTTTTGAGGGCGTAGTTATAACAGTGATATTACGTAACCATTTTTCAAGGAAAATATATTTATATATATCTACAGACATGTATTGTGTAAAGGATTAATAGGAAATTTAGTACATTTTCAAAATATAATTAGAAAACTAATACATATACTATTTATAATTGGTAAAGTAGTACATGGATTTATTTCACGGGTTAAATCATAGAATACAATAAAACCTGATTTTCATTTATTTTTTCATTTTTGTTTTCTTTTTTCTTTTTATATCATTACCCCAAAATCTTATAATTAAAATACTAGGTTTTGTAAAAATCTTTTTTAAAATATTTTTGATACATAAAAATCTATATGTTTTTCTCTATAATTTGATATACATTTTGCATTATAAATTTTAAATATTTTTCATATATACATATTTATTTGTACAGTTTAGTATGTGTACATACTTTATCGTACAGTTTAGTATACGTACAGACGTATCTGTACATCTGATTAAATGTACAGACGTACTCGTACAACTTATTAAATGTACGAATGTATAAAAAATTACATATTTTATTCGTATAAACTATTATAGTATAACGAAATATGCATATTTATATACATTTGTACACTAATATTCTGTACGGATGATATTATTTAGTACTTTTAATATTGTACAAAAATATTTTTTTTGCACATCTGTACATAAGATATGCTGTACGAATTATACTATCCCTATATTAGTAAAAGAGAAGTACAAAAAGTGTTTCCGGGTCGGGTCAATTTCAAAAAATTACCCGAAATTTGTAATTGGATCTTTTAAAATTGGATATATTAATGGGTTTGGATACATACACCGGATACTTTCCAAATTTAATTTTAGGATTGTATTATTTCCATAACTAATTATAAGATTTAATACAATCTATTTAAAAAATATTATTCTTCTTTCACTTTTATTTGATATTATTTTTAATTTATGATATTATACTATATAATATAATTATTTAACTAAAAATTTAACTTTTTCTTTTGCATATGTTGCAATTTGAATTTTTCAAAACGGACATATAATACTTAACTACACTCGGTTAAATATTTTGGACAACGGTTTAAAATCATTATAAGTATGACCAATATTAAAACCATTGTTACATGAGCATATTTAATATTTCAAATAGTTTCAAAATATTATAAATAAAAGGTTCAAATATATAAAACTTTTAGAATTTAAAATATCGAAATATTTTTTTGAAGATATAAATGTAATTTTGGAGACATAATTTTTATTGATAAAATATATTATATATCAAAATATGTAAATTTTAGATAATTCACGGGTAGTTTGTTAAAATCACAATTATAATGATAAAACGAGTTACGAATAATGTTTTTTACGAAATGAATTCTGTTACGGGTTGGACTTTCAAAAAATATATTGTAAATATGTAATTTTTACGTATATTCCTACTTTTACTACAAAAATGGCAAAAATGAATAATTTATCGACAAATATTATTTCGTGCTGTTAAATTTTCACCGTGTTTTTAATTGTATCAAAACTCAGTATATGATTATTTACTCGCTTTTTCCTTTATTATTTTATTTAAACTTATTATAAAAATATATGATTTACCGTAATCGACTGTACTCTAACAAAATTAAAATGTAACATATTCTAATCCGATAAAAGTTATATATATGTAATTATTTCCCCCGCGCTGTAGCGCGGGTCCGAAACTAGTATAATTAATACAGTGGCATGCTCGTAAATATTTTGTTTTTCTGGGTGTTTAAATGTCAATGAAATAGTACCAAATAGTGATAATGTACTAGTTTGCTAATTGTAAATAGTAATTGTACTAGTATTCTAATTAAGTTTCAAAAATGTACTACTTATCCAACACACCCTTGTGTAAAACAGTTGAACTTGTTAGTTTATATCTGAAACCCTAATTTCAGTAGCTTATTCGGCAAGTAAGCGCAGACATGGATACGTTGTTGAGAAAAGAGAGAAGACCAAAAGTGTATGATAATCATTACGACTGGTCCAAGCTTTTTCCTGACCTTTTGCGAAAGATGATCGAAAGCTTGAGCTCTATTGATTATCACCGAGCAAAAACTGTTTGCTCATATTGGTATTGTGTTTGGAAAACATGCGTGAAGCGGCCTCAGTATCCATGGCAGGTCATATACTATGGCGATGATGATTCTTTGAGTTTGTTCGATCCCAGAGAAAACAATATCTACAACAAAAGACTCCTGGGACTCTCTGACAATAGCCATTATATGGCTAGCTCCGGAAACTGGCTCTTGATGGCAGATTCTCATCTCAATTTCTACTTTTTTAACCTGTTAACGCGCGAAAAAGATTAACCTTCCGTCAATGGATTCGCCAATTGGCGGTGGACAAATGAGATCAGACTGTAGTAACAACAAGTGGGGATATTTCTTCCAGCATGGTCTTGCTTGTCAAGTGTTGAAATTCGACATATGCGGAAGTAAAAGATCAGCTGTTGTTTGGATAGACGAGAGGACAGAGGATTACTTCGTTGCTTGGATTCTCAAGAACCGTTATCTGTTCACACACAAGAAAGGAGATGATTCTTGGTGCAACCAGAGTTATAATAATTGGATTACTACCGAGGGTGGTTTATATGATTTGGCTTATAAGAACGGCAAGCTTTATTTGTATACTTACCATGATAACATCAAGATTATTGATTTCTCCGGAGATTCACCAAAAGAAGAGATGGAAAACAACCCTTACCGGGATCATCCGTTTCCAGACTACTACCAACTCGTTTGGGGAAACGGATACCTTTGCAACAGGAGAATTGCGATTCAGAAGTCAGGAGAGGTTTTGATCATATGGAGTTGTCAAAATTTCGAATATAGAGATCCGAGAAATCTTTTTTACATCTTTAAGTTGAATCTTGAGAGTAACGAATGGGAAAGAGTCTACTCTATTGGAGATGATGAGATGTTGATCTTTGGTCATGGGGTTACAATTAAAGCACCTGTTCAAGATGTTGGTGATGGAATCAAGAGTGGTTCAATCTGTTTCGTTCATGATGACACTATACCAGGATATGAGTATCCTTCAAAATGTGGTGTCCTTGATATTTTCACTGGTCAAATCACAGGATATAGTTATCCTTCAAATTGTGGTGTCTTCGATCTTGCCACAGGTAAGATCACTTGGACTAAGATAATCAGTTTTAAAAGTCACTGGTTTGTGCCAAGATTTGCTTAGTCTTTAACTGTTGAAGTAGTTTTAATTCAATTTTGGTTTGTTTTTTTGCTTTTTTCTCTTCTATTTTTTGTTTTGTTTTTTTGATGTCCCTTTTTTTAATTGATTAAGCATGGTTTGTAGTGAAATATTCAAAAGTGAACAACAAATCGTAGAAATATTAAATAAAGACAAGATTATGGCAAAACCGTTTACTTATAAATTGTTGGAATCTAATCGGAACGCAACTCTAGATCCATCTATTTGAAAATTAGGTGATTCATCTGCGTACGTGGACGTGCATGCATGCATGCACAAAATTTTTGTTCTCGTCAAATTTGATCGAAGCATTTTTGTGAGCACTTTGAATAAGTGAAACAAAAAGCAAGTTCATAGAAAGTTTGTTGTTTATAAGTTCTCAAAGTCTCTATAATAGTCTTTCAAGTATATATTTGATTATTTTCTAATTGTTCTTCCAATATCATCATAGTCATAGGATTTCTCATCTTAACTTTTTCGAGTTTCTGGTGGTATTACGGTCTTGACCTAGTGCTAATTAATCACTATTACATTGGAGTTTCTTCACAAAAGTCTCTTCCAAGAAAACAATTATTCAAATCAAAGCAAAAGATGGTTACTTATTAAACCAAAATAATTTAATACCATAAGAGCTAAGCTAATTATTACAAAAAAATTACCTAAACTCAAAAAAAAATCTCAATCGAAATTAAAAGTACAGAAGAAAACAGAATTGAAATTGAATTTCGTTCAAATTCGATAGAAACATTTTAACTTTAACCGAACCAAACATTTAAGCCACACCAAACAGAAATTTTATTGCCTTTAGTCCGGTACAGTTTTTGTCAAACCGAAGAACAAAGAACCAATATTTAGACCAAAACGATCTGATTAATTAAACCAATTAGTACCATGCCATTATCCTAACCAGGAGTTTATTCTTTGAGTATCCTTTTAGATAAACAAAAATAGGTTCCAAAATTGATAGTTAAGTCACATGAATTTATTCGTTAATGAGTCTATTAGCACATCATATTCGACAACTATCCTTCTCATGTAAACAAAGAATAGCTTGCTAATGACTAAATAGCATATTCTATATAAAAAAAGTATGTATGTGTATATATAAAACGAAAGCTCTCGTCATTACGATGAAACCAAAACATAAAAGAAAATTATATAAAAGACTACTATATATATAAAAAAGGATACATTATCATAAATCGTCTATGGAGAAACTCAGAGATGTTTACACACTATACCATACGCGTGGGCTAAAATGCGATGGATGCAATCTTGGTAACAGCTATTTTAGTGCTGGTTATAGTTGCTTTCGTTCTGGACTCTTCTTTCACAAGGAATGCGCCGAATCCGAACCAACGATTCACAACTTGTACCATCCACAACATTCTTTGAACATCAAGGTACTTTCAGAAAATGAAGAAGCCTATGGAAATTGCAAGCTTTGTAGAGGTAACTTGCCAAAGATGTATTACTGTTGTTCAATATGTGATTTTTCCATTGATTTGATATGCGCAAGGAAAAAAGTTATGACTACAATTGAGAGTCCGAACACCCATGAGCATCCTTTATCTCTTGTTCCAGAGATGGGTTTGTTTACTTGTCACTTATGTGGATTGCATGATGATCGGTTTCCTTATGCATGTAACTTATGTAATGTGAGTTTTCACAAAGATTGTGCCGAATCCACACCGGAGATTCAGTATTCTTGTCATCCTAAACACATTCTCAAGCGTCTCACGGATGTTCCCAAGTATACTAATGGCAAATGTTGTTTGTGTGGGAACAAACTTCATTATATATTTTATCATTGCTCTATTTGCAATTTTAGTGTGGATGTCAATTGTGTAAAAAACCCACTCCCTTCTACTCTTGTTCACGTTAAGGCTCATGAGCATTTACTCACTCTTATGCCTCAACGGAGTTTTGTTTGCGATGTTTGTGGGATGAGTGACGACCCGAATCCATATGTATGTCTTCCATGTAATTTCATGGTTCATCGAAATTGTTTAGACATGCCTCGTGTCGTAAAGATATACCGTCATGATCATCGTATTTATTACAATCATTATCTTGGTGCGGGAGATTGGAAATGTGGAGTGTGTAATAAAGAGATAAATTGGACATGTGGGGCTTTTTCATGTGCCAAGTGTTCTGATTTTGCCATTCATCCAAGATGTTTAACAAGGTTCGGGATTTGGGATGGGACTGAACTCGAAGGCGTTCCAGAAAATAATCCAGAGGTAAAGTCATTTGAGGTGAACAAAGAAGAAGAAATCAAACATTTCAGTCATGAGAAGCATTTACTAAAGCTTAAAGAAGAGAGTGGTGCTAATGATGAATACCTATCGTGTAAATCATGCAACTATCCTATATATACGGGATTATTCTACAGCTGCATGGAATGTGATAACTTTAATCTCCATGAAAAATGTGCTTCTCTCCCACAAAAGAAAATAGATGCCTTCTACAACATGCCAACTACTCTAATCACAAATGATGCTCGCATATTCATTTGCAATGCTTGTCAAGACGTTTTTCAAGGCTTTCGTTACACAAGTGATGATCGTAAAACTATCTTGGATGTGCGTTGTGGCTCTATCTCTGAGCCTTTCGTCCATGAAAGTCATCCTTTTCATTCGTTATACATCAACCACGCAGCGAAAGATTTGTTTTGTAATGCTTGCGGAGTTAATTCTCCGATGGTTTTGAGTTGCGAGGAGTGTGAATTTGTTTTAGACATTAAATGTGCTGTTTTACCAAAGATAGCTAAACACAAAAATGATAAAGATCATTTTTTGTCTCTTTGTTATGGAGAAAAAACGAGTGAGCAATACTGGTGTGAGATATGCGAGGAAGAAGTAAATCCAGAGAAATGGTTTTATTCATGTGATGATTGTGGTATCACTAATCACATCAAATGTGTGGTCGGAGACTTCAAAGGGATGAAAATGGAAAAAGATAACGATGAGCCATTCCCAGCTTATATGGTTATCAATAATCGCATAAATCGACCAATTTGTTTCTTTTGTAAGTCTCGCTGTTATTTCTTTTCCATCTTAGAGGTATATGGGAAATCATTTTGTTCTCTACAATGTTTCCAAAAAATATTAAGTACTACAATTTAATCCGCTGTACACCAGGACGATGTTCTAATTATATTTTTATTAATGTTGTTTGATATATAAAATTGTATTATATGATTTAACCCGTGGAATATTGCATGACAATTTGTTTTTTTACATAGCTGTAATTTGTTCAACTTAACTAAATAAGTCTAATATTCAAAAGAATGAAATGATGTTGGCATAACATTTTTCTTTTAAATAGTCTAATTTCATATTAAAATATTTTGTGAGTTTTACTATAGTAGACAACCTGTAATTACATTTATAATCATAATTTTGTAAACTATAATCTGCTCCACTACATGAGCCGTACTACACAATTATCAATAATATTTTAGTGCATACATTTTTGTATCTTTTGAGTAATATAGTCCGTTTTCAAAATTTTAAATTGCAACATATGCAAAAAAATCTATTTTTATTATTATACATATGTCTTATGTAAAATGTACTTCAAAAACTATCAAACTGGATATCAAGAAATGAAGTAAACCTTTGTTTTCCAAAATTACAAAGTTATATTTGACCAGAAAAAAAAAGAGATTGTATCTTTCTGGATTTGTCAAATCATATAACAGCCACAAGAAATTATTCTGAATCTCCTCAGCAAATGGGAAGCAGCTGTTAATCAAAAATTTGTTCTGTCTTGTTTCTCTGGTTAAAATTAAACGAAAATGACCTTAATGTATCTGTAGATTGTGTAGTTTGGTAGAGAAAATGATTAGATGGTAAAACTCCATCCATCATACATTCATACTCTTATCAATAAAGAACAAAACTATCAACTTTTAAATTTCACATAGGAGGAATTCAATGAAAAATAACCAAACTACCAATGCATTTTGGAGAAAATTTCCACGACATATATCATCTTGTAATATTATATATATGTATATATACCAAACCAAAATAAAAATAACAATTGTATATGCATATATATACATAGATTTTGGTGAAAAATCTCCACTACATATAACATCTTGTAACCAAGCTCATTTCTATAAGGAAAAATTATGTTATATTTTTGCACTTTAATCTTGTAATATATTTGACCAAAAAAAAAAATCTTGTAATATACTTCATAACAAGTCACAAACATATTCAATTTTTTCTTTTAAGTTTTAAAATTTTAAAATATGCATCATATTCATTTTGTTAGTTTTATAGGATGTTTAAGATATAACAATCGATGTCATTATTCATAAATTCAAATTTCTGTATTTCATTTACATAAGTCAATTTATCTATAAAATTTCTAATTTATTGTAAAATATTATTATAACTTGTGATGGTTCCAATATTATTTGTAGAGGGTTTTTACTAAAGTATTTCTTCCATACCTTTTTTTAAAAGAGAATTTTTGAAAGATACCCTTTTTGGTGTACCTCTTTTTAAAAATACCCTTTTTATCTATCCATTTTCAAAAATACCCTTTTTTAAATATAAAAAATTATAAAGTTTTATATAGTTTATAAGATATTTCTATATAATAATTACTACTGCGAGATTCGATACAAATATTTTAAAATGTTTTAAATAGTTCTAAATCGTTTTTATAAGTTTTATAAGGTTTTTAAAAGATTTTTAAAAGGGTTTATACGGTTTTTATAAGGTTTTTATAAGGTTTTTATAATTTATTTTTATGCTATTTATGAAAGGTATATAAAGTTTTATACACATATAAATGTAATTTGTGTATATATTTATAAGCTTACACACATATTTGAATAAATTTCAATATTTTTAGTGAGTTTTTTGATAAAGTTTGAAAATGGGGTATTTTTAAAAAGAGGTATTTTTAAAATTCCCTTTTTTTTAAAATGATTTTAGCACCAAGTTGTAGTGAAATATTTTAAAGGTAAACACATCCAATTAAATTAATAGATCAAATAAAGACAAGTTTGTGTCAGCCGTTGACTTATTTATCACTTTTTTGATCAACTAGGAATCTAATCGGACCGCAACTCGAGATATGATTGATTTTATTTTATTACAAAAGATTGAAAAATAAATTGAGGAAGATGTTGTATCTTTATGGAATCTGGATCTGCCAATCATTTGACAGCCACGAGCAAACGATTCTTAATCTCCCTCAGCAAATGGGAAGCTAAGTAATCAAAAATTTGTTCTTTCTTGTTCTATCTCTGTTCTCTAATTATCTCTGTTCTTCGGTAAAGTTAAGCACAAAAGCTTCCAAAAGGTACAAATGATCTCTTTCAAGAAACTCATTTAAGTCAAAGTTGTTTACTTTTTGGTCTCTTGTCTTAGAATCCCCCAATAGCTTTGGTCTCTTGTGTTGCCTTGTGGTTTATCTAAGATGATTACTCTGTTTTCCTGAGATCTTTATAAGATAATCCTCAATTTGGTGAAATAGAGGTTTGAGGTTTGTGTTGTTATGTTCTTGGAACTCTTCTTGACGCTTGAACTCAAGTAACTTAGTCTGAGACATTGAAGATAAGATAACTGAAAGAATCTTCCTTTGTGTTCTTTGGTGCAGCTGTTTTTTTCATGGTTTTGTAAGAATATAAAATAGAGATAGAAAGATGTATATGATAGAGAGTAAAGGAGGAGCAATAGCTTGTATGCTCTTGGCTCTACTCTTTTTAGGGACATGGCCAGCGATCATGACTTTAACCGAAAGACGCGGTCGACTTCCTCAACACACTTATCTTGACTACACACTCACAAATCTGTTAGCTGCAGTGATCATAGCGTTGACACTAGGAGAAATAGGTCCAAGCAGACCCAATTTCATCACACAGCTTTCTCAAGTCAGTCACATTTTCATACTTCTCTTTCAAGAATCTTTTCGAGACATATTCGTTGAAATGCGGTTTTTGTATTACAGGATAATTGGCAGTCAGTGATGTTTGCAATGGCTGGAGGAATTGTTCTTAGCCTTGGAAACTTAGCAACACAATATGCTTGGGCTTATGTTGGTTTATCAGTTACTGAAGTCATCACAGCGAGTATCACCGTTGTTATTGGTATACTCTTCTTTCTTCAACTTACTATTAACTGATATTTTCCTCTGTTTCAATCTCTTGTTCTTATGAACTTTTCTTGTTTTCTAGAACAGGTACAACTTTGAACTATTTCTTGGATGATAGAATCAACAGAGCTGAGGTCCTTTTCCCGGGAGTCGCTTGTTTTTTGATCGCTGTTTGTTTCGGCTCAGCTGTTCATAAATCAAATGCAGCTGATAACAAATCCAAACTCCAAGATTTCAAAAGGTTCTAAAAAGATTCACAAAAAGATATTTGTTTTTACTTCAGTTTGGTACTAATCTTGATCTTGTTTCAGTCTAGAGACTGCTTCTTCCTTCGAAATGGAAACAGTTTCTGGAAGCAACGGGTTAACGAAAGGGAAAGCGAAAGAAGGGACTGCAGCATTTCTGATAGAGATTGAGAAACAAAGAGCCATAAAGGTTGGAAAACATGCTCTTCCTTTACCTTAACAGATATAACTGAATATGTATATCTATTCTCTGAAGATTCTTGATTGGCATTGACGACAGGTCTTTGGGAAAAGCACAATAATCGGATTGGCCATAACTTTCTTTGCCGGTATCTGTTTTTCTTTGTTCTCACCAGCATTTAACTTAGCTACAAATGATCAATGGCACACTTTGAAACATGGAGTTCCAAAACTTAATGTGTACACCGCCTTCTTCTACTTCTCAGTCTCCGCATTTGTGATTGCTCTTATACTAAACATTAGATTTCTCTATTGGCCTATACTTGGTCTCCCAAGATCTTCTTTCAAGGCTTACTTAAATGACTGGAACGGGCGAGACTGGTCTTTCTTGGCTGGATTTCTCTGTGGATTTGGTAATGGTCTTCAGTTCATGGGCGGTCAAGCCGCAGGTTATGCAGCTGCAGACGCGGTTCAGGTTTGGAAAATAAGCATATTCTCTGTTCCATGCTTTGAGAGTTAGATATATATTTTTTAAAAATTTGGTTTGAATGGGTTTCAGGCCCTTCCACTTGTGAGCACATTTTGGGGGATATTGTTGTTTGGAGAATACAGGAGATCATCGAGAAGAACATATACACTTCTCATCAGTATGCTTCTCATGTTCATAGTAGCTGTTGCGGTTCTTATGGCCTCATCAGGACATAGAAAATGACTTGAAAAGGAAATTGACAGAAACGTCTACAAGCGAAACTGCTAAAAGGATGACAACTTTAGTTCATAAAATTGTAAGAAACCAACGATAGATCAGCTTTTGAAGTGGTTCTTGAGTGAGTAACTTCACTAATGGTTGCAAAATGTTCTCAAGTCTTTGTTTATATTTTAACCAAAGTTATTTGAATATAATCTATGATTTCGTAGCAACTATTGGTTGCATTTTCTTTGTTTACACATCAGAAAAAGAAAACTAAATAGTTTATAGTCAACTGTCAAAGAAAAAAAAACAATAGATTATGCCTACTTGAGATTTATTTGTTTGATAGAAAATGGGAAGCTAAGTCCTTCCTGAATCTGGATCTGCCAATCAGATGAGAAACTAAGTTATTTTGTTTCTTGTTCTGTCTCTTTACTCTGGTCTCTCTCATTGTCAAAGTTAAGACAAAAGCTTTACAAAAAGGTAAACTCTTTCAAGAAACCCACTAGTCAGTGATGGGATTTAGTGAATCAGATGTTTAAGAAGCAGATCTTCTTGTATCAGCATTTGTGTTATGCTCTAAAAAACCTTCCTTCAACACAAACTGGATATCAAATATTAGCTAACCGCGAGAATCTCACTTCTTTACTTTATTGCAGCAGTTTTTCGTATAAGTGTATGTAATGTATGTGATAGAGAGCAAAGGAGGAGCAATAGCTTGTATGCTCTTGGCTCTGCTCTTCTTAGGGACATGGCCAGCACTTATGACTCTAACCGAAAGACGCGGTAGACTTCCTCAACACACTTATCTTGACTACACACTCGCAAATCTGTTAGCTGCAGTGATCATAGCGCTTACACTAGGAGAAATAGGTCCAAGCAGACCAAATTTCATCACACAACTTTCTCAAGTAAATATTCAATTCTTACATTATCACTTTCACAATCTCGCAGCTATATGTTGAAATACGCTGTGTTTTTCATATTGCAGGAGAATTGGCAGTCCATGATGTTCGCAATGGCTGGAGGTATAGCTCTTAGCCTTGGAACTTTAGCAACACAATATGCTTGGGCTTTTGTAGGTTTATCAGTCACTGAAGTCATCACAGCGAGTATCACAGTTGTTATCGGTTAAGACTCTTCTTTCTTCAACTACTTATAGGTTTAACTGATTCTTTCCCTCTTCTCATGAGCTTTTTGCTTTATTTTATGTGTTTATATGCATATAGGAACAACTTTAAACTATTTCTTGGATGATAAAATCAACAGAGCTGAGATCATTTTTCCGGGAATCGCTTGTTTCTTAATCGCTGTTTGTTTCGGCTCAGCTGTTCATAAATCAAATGCATCTGATAACAAATCCAAACTCCAAGATTTCAAAAGGTTACAAGATTTTACAACTAGTTCTTTTTTACGGTTCGATTTGCTAATCTTGATCTTGTTTCAGTTTAGAGACTACTTCTTCCTTACAAACGGAGACAAACCCTGAAACCAACGGGTTAGCGAAAGGCGAAGCAAAAAAGGGGACTGCAGCTTTTCTTATAGAGCTTGAGAAACAAAGAGCCATTAAGGTTAAAACAAACTTTAACTTTGTTATTCATTAACAGAACAAGATCAAGATTAGTGCACAAGAATTAGAGATTTGCATCAAGATTATATCAACAACATTCTCTTACAATTCAAGATTTTGCGCTGACAGGTGTTTGGTAAAAGCACAATAATTGGACTGATGTTAACTTTCTTTGCCGGTATATGTATCTCTCTAATCTCACCTGCTGTCAGCTTAGCAACAAACGATCAGTGGCACACTTTGAAAAATGGGGTTCCAAAACTCAATGTGTACACTGCCTATTTCTACTTCTCAGTATCTGCATTTGTGATTGCTCTGATACTAAACATCAGATTTCTCTATTGGCCTATACTTGGTCTCCCAAGATCTTCTTTCAAGGCTTACTTAAATGACTGGAATGGTCGAGGCTTGTCTTTCTTAGCTGGATTTCTCTGTGGATTTGGTGATGGCCTTCAGTTTATGGGCGGTCAAGCCGCTGGCTATGCTGCTGCAGGCGCTGTTCAGGTTTAGACTAGAAACCTCTTCTCTGTTCAAAGATTTTTAAAGATTTAAAATAGATTACATATCCTTACTTTGATTTTGATGAGTTTCAGGCACTTCCACTTGTGAGCACTTTTTGGGGGATATTGTTGTTTGGAGAATATAGGAGATCATCAAGGAAAACATATATACTTCTTATATGTATGCTTTTTATGTTCATAGTTGCTGTCGCGGTTCTGACGGCCTCATCCGGACATAGAAAATGAGTTAAAAACGTATATTCCACAGAAATATCTACAGGGTTAACTACCAAAAGGTATCACAAGTTTAGTTTATAACCTTGTAAGAAACGGTTCATGAGAGCTTTGAAGGAAGAGTGAGAAAATCTAAAGGCTGCAACATGTTCAAGTCATTGGTTAAATTGAACAAAAAGGGTTAAGATGTTTTGTTTCTTTGGTAACATTTTGTATGACTGCTTTGTGTTTGTTGCACATCAGAGAAAGAAACCATCACATTTATTCATTGAAATGAGCTCTCATGATGAGTCTACTCCTGTTGAAGATGCTGGTGATGGGGTCAAGAGTGGTTCAATATGTTTCGTCGATGATCATCTTTGGCCTGGTTGTAATGGTCCTTTTAATTGTGGTATCTTCGACCTTTCCACAAGTAAGATCACATGGCCTAAGAGATTTGGTGTTTTCATTGATAAAACTCAGTGGTTTCTTCCAGGAGCCGCTTAGTGACTAGATATGATGGTGTAATACTACTCTTTCTTCTTGGCCTTCTTTTGTAATACCCTTTCGTGTAACGAACTTTACACCTACTTCAACTTAAAGGGTAATGTTTTGTTATGTTTCAAATCCAGTTTCTTGGCAATTGTTATCACTAATGTCAAACACATGCACATCCAATTATTTTCAATATAGGTCAAGCCTAAGCTTAGTTGTTTGAAACTGCAAAGGTCATTAGTTGTTCATCTTTACAATAATAGCTCCATGTGTCTTCTTCTTCTTCTTCTCTAACATAAGCTTAGTTTTCAGAGAGGGAATACTTTTTTGTGCTTAAAGTATAACACAAAACAAAAATACAAAATTCCACATCCAACACCTGTAATCAGCAAGACATACTGGAACGAAGTTGGATTCTGGAAAACAGAGTCTTGCAAATTCATCCCAAAGACAGCGGTTACAGCGGCAAAAATGGCAGCTACAAAGGTTGCCGCGGTGAGAAGTAGTTGAAACTGAATCAACTGATTCTGTACATTTCCCTAAGAAAAGCATGGACATAATCAGAGACCTAGAGAATATTGGAATGGAACAATAACAAGAGTACAAAACTTGGTTTTGTCTGTCCTTACCAGCTTAATGTTGATTAGGTCCTCTGTATCATCTATATACTCTTTCAGCTGCAAACACAAGATCATAATAAAAATGATGAAACAACATGTTGTTGAGAAGAAAGATCAAAAAATCTAACCGATGATAATTTGCTGAGAGTGTTATCAACAACGACGAAGTAAGCTTCTAGTAACATCTCTAGTTGATCAATGTTCTCTCCAATGCTAGAGGAGCTTAACAAGCTTCTATGTGAGCCAACAATGCTGCTAAAGGCTCTTTGAAGCTTCCCAAAGTTTCCACTTGTTGAACCCACAGGTGAAACCGGTGCAGACTTGGATACGATTCCAGAAGATTCAAAGTCCTCAACAATGTTATCTCCTAGCTCCTCTGACGCATGAGCTTCGGCTCTTTCTTTTTTCTCAGTCAAATACATCTCAGCCATGTCATCATCATCATCCATTAGATGCTCTATTTCGTCACAGACCTGCAAGTTTTGACCTCCAAAATCAAATTATGGTACTAAGGTTTTTCCAAATTTGAAGAGTCTTTTGTGTTTCACCTTCTGAACTTTCTGTGTTAAGGTAAGAAGACGGCCTTTTAGCCTGCGCACGTGTTCTAGATTAAGGGTGCTGATGTTAGTCGCTAGTTCATCAAGAACAGGATACACCTCCATCTCAAGCTCATTCACCTATCAAAATCACGTTCACCAAAACTTTTGAACTTAAAAATAGCTTAAAAGCTCGTTTTATAGTTACACGAACTATTATGCAATAAATCATAGAGAGGAATGATGAAGACCAAAACTAAAACATTAGAAAAGACAGTGTGGCATACCTGTGAATCTAAAGACAAGCAAGATAATTCCAAAACCAACTCCAACGCTTTAAATTCAAAGGGCAAATCATCTGAAACCAACACATATAACAGTTTTGTCAGCAATCTAATCCGTAACATAATTCCAGGCCACCAAAGCTATATCAAAACCATTAACCTATGAGATTTATGTTTTGGTTTGACTGGAGGCGTTTACACAATTCCGACTGGTACTGAACAACAGATGCATCCCGAGCATTCATGAGAATAACCTCTTCAGCTGTGATTATACACCTGATCTTCTCAAGGCTAACCACTATCGCTCTCTCACGCCCCAAAATACTCGAAGGGTAGATAAACAAAGGGTCAAGTAGTCTCAAATCCCTGGATGGTAAAGAACACCGCTTCATTATAGTCGCCTTATCCAGCTCCAATACCGCGGAGTTCCCATCTTGATCGATTTTCACCCAAGAACGACTAGATTGGCCTCTCTTCTTAAGGCCAGAAAAAGGATGCCCACGGTTACTTTGTCCTTCAAGATTAACCGGTCTACCAATTTTTTGCGAAGATATGAAATCCGGAAGATTAGAAGCGGAAAATGGATCCAGTTGTTCTCCCATGTTTGCTCTATACTCTCTTTCTGACAATTTACTAATGCATCAGAACAAAACTCTCACTACTCAGATGAACAGTTTCCACTGGTCGAACTTAAGCCTTTTGCCACAGTTTCCAACCTGAAAACAACAATATTGACATGAAACTCAAAATTCAATTCTGCAAACATGTAACTCACAAATCAAAAGACAATACTTTTCTTAATGGTAGAAACTCCATCGATTACCAAGAACCCACCTTTGATAAAACCCTCAAATCTCTTATCAATCTAGGTTCGAAATAGCTTCATCTTATGTTCTTAGGCACTAAAATGAAGAAAAGTCACAAAATTTACAGTTAACGAAGATCCAATTCTCAAATTTAGTAACTCAATTCAAAGAACTCGACCTATCAAAACTATCGAATACAAATCGCACCGATCAATTAGGTCTACAGAATCATATCCATTTACCAAAGAAAGCCAAAAACCCAAAAAAGGAAGAAACTTTCAAAAACCAAAAACAACGTAAAGAGAAATAGAAAACTCAAAATTCCAAAAAAAAAACTTCACCTTTTTGTTTACAAAGCTTTCACTTTCCCTAAAGCACAGTAACAGAAGAAAGAACAAGAGCAATGGCTTTTTTTTTTTTTTTTTTTCCGTTCTACACATCGTTCTTTAACGTATCTGAAGCCACGTGTTAAAAGTCAAGGCGTCTATCTATTGGCTAAAACACGTTTTATAACATAGACCGTCACACAGAGGATCATATAGAAACAGAAACAGCTTAGAGTCGTCGACATGGCGCGAAACGCAGCCATGGTTTTGTTGTGTTAGTTAAAGTTCCGAACTTTACGAGATACCTTTCGTTCTGCTTATCACCAAACAAAGAAACAGAACCAAACCCTAGATCCCCTTTTCCTCGTCTTAATAATTTTTCTTCTTCTTCTTCCTTCGTTTTCTCTAACAAGAACGAAATTTTCACAACTTAATCCCCACAAGTGAAACAAGAATCTTCATCACTCATCAGATTGTTTTAGCTCGTTTCCAAGGTATGCCTTTTTGATAGATTTTTTTTTTTTTTATGTGTATTGGTTTAGATTTGTTCGATTAACACGAGAAAATGGGCTAAATGAGGCAATGATGTTTTGGTTTAGCTTTGTTTGTTTAGGTGTTATGGAGTCTGAACGTGAAGAAGATGTGTTGTTAAAAACAAAACATGATGAAGATGGAAACAAGCAAGGTTCTTTAGACGGAGAAAATGGTGGAGATGGTGAGCATATAAGGATTCATTCAGAGGAAACAGGAAGTGTGATCATTCACTCAGAAGAACATTCAAGATCATCGTCATCTTCTTCATCTTCATCGTCGTCCTCTTCTTCGTATTTATCGCCACCTAAAGATCTACCTGAAGACGGGAAAGAATCATCGAATGAACCGGAGGTTTCTTCGCCTCCTGTTCAAGTAATGGAAAGAGAAAATAACGGAAACTATGACCCGAATAGGATTCCATCTTCGGTTTTCGAGAGAAGCAAATCGAATATACCAGCTGAATGGAGCTGTACTTCGAATGAATCTCTCTTCAGCATTCATTTAGGACGCAATAGTTTCACTGGTGATTTGATGAATACAGGTGAGCTCTATAAATCGGGAGAGTTGCTCGCCTACAGTCCCGGACTTCCTATGCCTCCTCCACCGGGATCAGAATCAAAACCCGTCCAAGAACTGAAAGTTGTTGATTCAAACAAAGAAGAGGAAGTTGTACTAGTAGAAGATGCACATACATCTTCATCTGATGATGACGAAGACAAGAGAGAAAGCCATGAGAAAGACCAACAACCTGCTGTTTCTTGGAAAACTCCTACAAAGTCTTACCGTTCTAACCGAAGCTCAAACAGTGCACACTCCTTCTCTTTCCCAATGTACACACTCCATCCATGACCATTCCCTGATTGATATACATTTCCTCCTCTCGCTTGCTCTGGATCGGTTTTAATGAGAGTTTTCTCCTTTTTGGTTCTGTTTTACAGTTTGGCAGGAGCTGCAAGTGATTCAAGAAAGGTAGAAACAGAGGAACAGAAGAAACAAGCACAGCAGACACAAGAGTCACAAAAACCAGCAGATGAAACAAATCAAAAGCAGTCAATGTGTAGGTGGTTCTCATGTTTTCCTCCATGTCCTTGGTGTTGTTCTTCCTGCTCTTGTTCTTGATTTTGTTTTGCTGTTTTATTAGACAAAAAAAGATGTTGAGTTCATCTCCTGTAAAAAAGTTTAGGTCAATAGAACCTTAAAATCAATTCAATTTTGTTCTCTCCTTTGTTCATGAGAAGGTACAGATCAAACAGTGAAGAAATATGTTCTAGATTTATCCCAAAACAAAATCTCAAACCGAAATGATCATCGCCTAGAATATCAATGAAAACTAAATTCTGTTTTAACATCGCCTAAAACCTAAACCGATGAACAAAACTTGGAAGAAGCAAAAACTATACTAGTTTTTGGCCTCAGTATTGCCATGGCCGTTGTTCTGGTATGCTTTACCATCCCCATCAGACTCATTGTTCCGTCTCCCATAGCCTCTTCCTCCACTGACACCATTGCCCCGAGGTTTGTATCCATCGTTTCTGTGACCATTCTCATTCCTATAGTAACCACCGTTGTTTCGTGCAGAGGGTCTGCTGCCATTTTGAGTGTTGCTACCTCCTGAAGAATACAAAAACAACAATAAAGATTAGGCTTTTGTTCTTACATATTAATACTCTTGGATACAAGCCTTAAAAAAACTTGCCTCGCTTTTCTTCTATAGATGCTCGTCGGTTCCCGATTCTGATTGGAGATTCCTTGTGAGCCTAGAGTTGTGCATTTCATTATCAGAGAAACAAGAAGTTCAAATTACATTATAGTTGAGAGTTTGATGGGTAAGCAAAAACATACCTGGAAGACACTTTTTACTGCTTCACCATTTTCGAATGCCACAAACCCAATACAGTTCTTCTTTTCCTGAAAAATCAAAGTTTTTTTAAGTGAGTGAGTGAACTAGGGCCTAAGGTTTCGAAGCCATGCAAATACATTTTCTGTTAAGTCATTGAAAGAATAACTGACCGGGTAACTTCTGACTTGGATACCATCTTTTCTAATCGCTCCAAAACCTTTGAATGTTTCATAGAGTTGCTCAGTCGTCGCATCCATAGGCAAGTTTGCAACAAATATGGAAACACCCTTGGCTGATACAAGAAAAATAATTAATCAAATGAACAAAAGCAACAAGAAGATTCCAGTTTCATCATTCTTAACTATTAAACAGTGAATAACCAACCTGGTTGTTCAATGATTTTAGCAGAAGCCTGTTGATGAATTGGGGAAGGAGCCTTACGCTCGGGAGCAACAGTCGGTTTCTCGACACGTTTAGGCTTAATTGGTGAAGCTTTAACATGGAATCCACTACCGTTTTGAGCCGGAGATTGGACCTGTATGATTGAAATACACCAGGAGATTAGAGGATATTATACAATAAAATCTAATAAATTATGAAACTAAGCAAAAAGGAGGAGACTCACAACTGATGCAAAGGATTTCTTGGGAGCCGCCTCTTCAAGTTTGGTTTCAGCAGCTTTAGGTTCGTTGCTGTTTTCATTCACAACTTTATTATCCTTGGGGACATTTGCATGTCCGTTTGCTATGGCAGCTGCGGGTTTTGTCACCGAAGTTGTAGCTTGAGTCGGGACAGTAACCGCATCTACAATCTCCTTTTCACGCTCTGCTAGTCAAAACCAATACCATATGAATCAAAACAATGTCAAGATAATGAATTTTCCGGATTCTAGATAAACACACCATTCGTAAAGTACCAACCGGTTACACTGTTTGTTGGCTCGATTATCTCCTCAACCTCCTTGGTAGCTTCTGGTTCAACAATCTCATCAGACACATACCTAAAGGTATCATTCAGCACAAAGTAGCTTCCATTCCGCGGCACAAGGAAGAAACTTTGAGAAAATTTCCTTCTTCCTCCATCTTTTATCACTAAACCCGTGACTAGAGTTACAACACCATTCTTTAAAGATGGTTGAGAATCAGCAGTCAGAATCTCAATCTTCGAGTTTGTGTAGTCAATGGACATTATCTGATCATTAATAGCCTGCAACACACAATGAAACATTCGTCGAATCAGTAAAACAAAAACAAAAAAAACTATTCCATTAAGCCAGACTATACAAGTGGCAATCTCATTAAAGGAACTTACTTTCAAAGACTTGATAGAAACCATCTCACCATCGAGACCCGGCCGTAAAATCCCACTATTCTCGAGATAGAATTTGTAAACTTCCGCGGGCGATTCGTAAAGATGGTTATAGTATTTCTCAACAAAGGCATTGCCCACGGTGAGTGGATCTACTGACGGAGCGTTTGATTCAGTTGTCATCTCTGCACAATCCTAAGAAATTTAAAGGAACTCTTAGTTAGAAACTACTCTTAAAAACAGTCACAAGCATTCATAAATATAAATAGAATTGTACACAACAATCACACAAAAGGAGGTTTCTTTAATCTAAGATAAGAACATACATAGACGCAAATCAAACAACACATACTCAATAAAAACAGAAACCACACAAGTTCTAATCAAAGTTACACAAAGTAAGTTCATGATTCAGAGCATAAAAAACAAATCTTTTTAATGGAAAATCAGATTAAGTTCAGAAACTTTAATCTATCCAACCAATTCAATACCACCGTAAATCTCAAAGTTGTACCAAAAACAAAACAAAAGTTGACTTGCATAAGTTAGAATTGTACTTTGTGGATCTAATTGTATAGTACGAAATTACAAAGTACACAAAATTTTATATCTCCAGAAGTATGTAAAAGCTTGAATTGAACTACCACAGATCTGTAACTACTCAGATTTTTTAGAAAATTGAAGCAATAAAGGGCAAACCTTTGTGGAAGAAATATGAATTGGAAAAATATTGTATGAACCAGAAGAAGCAATTACCTGGTAAATTGGAGAAGACAATAATACGAATCAAATTCACACAACAAGACTGGAGAAGACAGAGAGAGAGAGAGCTAGAGAGAAAGTTACTTGTTGTGATTGGGTTATATATGGCTTCTAGGGTTTTTTTAAGTACATTACAATCTCCGACCAGAATTGGGAATTTTTCCTTTTTTTTTTTCTTTTTTTTTTTGCTACTTTTTGGATACTATCCAGTAATATCTCGCCACGTAATCATAGGATAGAGTGATGTAAGCATGGTCATGATTTTTTACTTTTTATTTGTTTTTCAATATGTGAAAAAATTAGTGAAGATTTTTTTTTGTTTTCCTTTTTAAATCCTATATTGATTTGATTACCAGCTTTTATGATTTCCAAATCCTATATTGATTGATGAAAAGAAAGAAAAATACAAAAAATAATATATTGATTTTCAAATTACAGTTAATTGTTTCTTTGGATTTGTGAAAATTGGCTCTGTTTCAATTTTATATTTTTAAATAATAAATCATAATCATAAATAAATATTAAATATGATTAGATATTGATTTCTTAATTCCAATATTATCAAAACTAAATATGATAGATTTAGTGTTTTGATAAGGAATGGGCCGAGTAATGAATGAATAAGGAAGTCCATAACAAGCTAAGTAAACAGGCCTAACTTAAAATATAAACAAAACAATAAAAAACAGCCTACGGTGAGGATCGAACTCACGACCTTTCGCTTACGAAGCGAACGCAATACCACTATGCTACGGAGGCAATTTTGTTAATTTTCGTGAATACTTTTGTAAATCCGTTTACACTTTAGAAAGGCTTAAGCAATTTCGTAAAGTATTTTGACGGGAAGGAGACGGACTTGAGAAAGATACGCCGGCGGAGAAATGTGCGGAATCGCAATTGTAGTCCGCGGCGTTCGTATCGAACTCTCGAAGCTTTCTTCGGTTCACTCTGTCCCTGAGCCTCCTTTCGAACAAGTAAATCTCCTTTTCCAACGTCACTTGTGATTTTACATCTCTTACCGTATTGGCGTTTGAGTTCATAGCTTTAGTTTTAGCTGTTTTTGTGTTCAGAAGCTTTGGGATTTGTTCTCTTTGAAGTTTAGCTTTAGCATGAATGATAAAGCTTGAATCTTTAGTTGAGTTTCAAGACTGATTGTTCTTACGAAACTAATTTGCTGGATGAAGTTTCAAATTCTGATATTTGGGTTCAAAGAAAGATTCACCCTTTTCAGTTTTAATCGATGGTTGTTGACAATGTATTGGGATGAGTGAACTGGCTATTTGATCTTATCATTTTGATGTATAGTTAGTAATTGAAATTGCTAATTTGGTGTGTTAAACTAGTTAAAAGTCTCTGTTGAAGATGTCAAAGCTGTATTAGGCCAAAGAGGTCCTGATAGTGTAGGCGAAAAGACGATTCATCTTCAACCGAATGTCGCTGAAGAATCTGCGGCTCTCTCTGTTTTTGAGGCTTGCCAAGGAACTTATAAGCTTGAGGAGACTACCCCTTTGGGTGAATTGCATTTTATTGGTTCTACATTACAGCTTAGAGGAACTAGTCCTATAAGACAGCCATTGGTGGATTCTTCTGGAAACATTCTAGTTTACAATGGTATGATTTACTTCATAAGCTTTCTAATTATCATTATTTTTTATTTACACTATACAATATTGATTGGTATATCTCCCCTCCAGGCGAAGTATTTGGAGGAATTGAACTTAGTAGCTATGATAATGATACTGAAGTTCTTTTTAAGTCTTTAGAGAAAGCTAAAGCTTTAGTTCCAGATGTTCTTTCCATGATCAAAGGCCCCTGGGCCATTATTTATTGGCAGGTAATTCTGTAACTTATCGCAACTTTTTTGTATGTAGCAATATTTTTTGCTCTTTGAACATTTTTCTCTATCAGGAAAGCTCAAGAACGCTATGGTTTGGTAAAGATGCTTTTGGTCGGAGGAGCCTTCTTGTTCACTGGCCAACTGTGGAAGACCCTCGTTTTCTTCTATCGTCTGTTTCACCTGCTTCTTCTGTCACTCCTGGCTCTGGTTTGTATTTCTTAATAGAGTAAATTTGTGTACCTATGTACACTCCAATTTCTGTATTGCTTTATGTACAGAGAATTATTTTTGGCAGTACCAGATGCTGAAATTGGTAATAGCGGTCATAGGTTTTGGGAAGAGCTTCCATGTGGAGTGTACAGCATTTCTTTTGGGGTTTCAGAATCTGGGTTATGTATTTGTGGTGAAGTCACGAAGCACGAATGGAGAATTCCCATGTGGAAGAAATTGATTGAATGGGAAAGGAAATCTGTTGTACCAAGACCTGAAGATCTATCAACATCATCGCTTAGAGAGGAAGACAATTCTGTTTCAACTTCTTCAGGTATTGCTTTGAATTTGTTTGACTCCTCCAATTCTGTCCAGCTCTCATTTGCCTGATAAGGTTTAGCTTTAGGACTTGCGCAGATAGTTTTGGTTGTGTTAAAGGAATCAGTGAGACGGCGAACTTCACTTCATAACATTTTTCAGGTATGAGCTTTAACTTTTCTCTTTTTTAAAGCATATTTTCTTTTCTTCTAAACACCTTATTGGCATAAACAGGGAGAGAAAGAAGTTGTCCCAGTAGCTGTTCTTTTTTCTGGTGGATTAGATTCGATGATTCTTGCTGCACTGTTGGATCAGTGCCTTGATCCAAAATGTAATCATTCCTCGGCACTGTTTTTTACTTAGGCATTAATTCTAAAACTATTCCAAAAAAAAAATTAATGTCTATTTCTTCAGATGAAGTTGATCTCCTTAATGTCAGCTTTGACGGTCCTAATGCTCCTGACAGGATCTCCGCCAAGGCTGGAATAAAGGAACTAAAAAAGATTGCACCTTTGAGAAGGTTGAATTCTCAGACCTTTTTGTAAATGCATATATCTGTTATTATTTATGCTTGATACAATATGTTCTTGGAATTTTTAGATGGAAACTTGTTGAGATTGATGCTGATCTATCAAAACTAACCTTCGAGACAAAACGTGTTATGTCACTCATAAATCCTGCTGACACTTACATGGTAAACTTCAAAGTCTTGGACAATTTTGATTCTGAACTTGATGTGAATTATACAATCTTTCTTTTGCAATCTTCTAGGACCTTAACATTGGAACAGCACTATGGCTTGCTGCTCGGGGTGATGGTTGGATTTACAACGAAAGCGAAAATCAAGCAGTTGAAGAAGATAACCGACGGGTCAACTATAAGTCTGATGCTAGAATTCTGCTTGTTGGCGCTGGTGCTGATGAGCAATGTGCCGGTTATGGTAGGCATAGAACAAAATATCGAAATGGGAGGTATGTATATGTCAAACAGACACATTCTCTTATGAATTTGAACAAACAATAATCTCATCTCACGTTTTATTCATTTTTCCAGTTGGGTTGCGTTGGATCAAGAAATGAAATTAGATATGCAGAGAATTTGGAAAAGAAATTTGGGTCGAGATGATCGATGCATTGCAGATAACGGTAAAGAGGTATATGTCACACCACAACTAGAAACCGAAATCATTTTATTCTTTAAGCTCTGTTCTTAAATGTTAAATATTGCATTTTCAGGGGAGATTCCCGTTCTTAGATGAAGATGTGATAAAGACTCTCCTTGACATTCCCTTGTGGGAAATTGCTGATCTTGAGCAACCAAGTGGAAAGGGAGACAAGAAGATTCTTAGACAGGTGAGTATACAAAAGCTAGCATTTTTACATTTAAGAATGCCACAAGAACATTCTTAAACCTGACATGTTACCTAAAATCTTGAAGGTTGCAAAGTTGCTTGGTTTACAAGAAGTTGCAAAGATGCCTAAGAGAGCAATTCAGGTAAAAATAGGTTGAAAAGCTGAGAAATGACTTCAAACCAGTACAGTTGAGAGTTTTTTTGTTGTTGTGTGTTTATACTATCTCATTGCTTTTTTGGACTTTGGTTGTGGTTTTTAGTTCGGATCAAGAATCGCTCGTGAATCAAACCGGAAGAATTTTGGAAGTAACCGTGCCGCAAACCAGGCCTCTGCCGGAAGCGTGAGATTCAACGCGCCGTCACACTAATTTCCTCAGATTCATGATGTTAGATAACTATTGTTCGTTCCATTTTGTTGTTCATTGTATTAATGTATCCTATACAAGTGACTAATAAGAGAGTACTAATGTTAAACAGTTTGATGCTGTCTTTCTTAACTCAATTTTAAAAGTTCTTTACATGTTTTCAAAACTGGTTTGAACAAGAAGGAACTGTTATATGACTTGATGCTGTCTCTTCTCAATTTCAAACATTTTATTGAAGGGTAAAATTGGAAAATCATAAAGAAAACAAAAAAAACAAACCCTAAAGTGTGTCTTAATCAGATTTTCTCCTCCGGTGATCTTCGTGCTCCGGCGCACCATAAACCCCTGGAAAGCCCACAACTTGTAAATCCCCAAAGTTTGGTTCTTTGTAATGGAAACCCAAAGCAGTGTCTGTGACAACATCGTCGGCGATGAGAAATGGCGAGCGGAAGCTGAAGTTGGTGGCAACGAGAGAGCTCTTCAAGCACTTCGAGAACTCATTATCTTCCCTTTTCGCTACCCTCTCGAAGCTCGAACTCTTGGTCTCAAAGTAAATATCAATACTTATGTTGGATTCATTGCTTCTGTCTTTGTTTCGAGTAGGTTAATAAGTTTACTTATCATTGCAGTGGCCTAGAGGATTGCTTCTCTACGGTCCTCCTGGAACCGGCAAGGTAAAAACTCTGTTTCAAGCTTGAACTTTTCATTATGCGTTTGGGTTCGTCAAAGTTCCCAAGTTTGACCTTACATAAGCTAATTCGCTCTGTATCGCCAATTTTGAGTATTGTAGACAAGCTTGGTCCGTGCTGTTGTTCAGGAATGTGATGCACATTTGATTGTTTTGAGGTACTTTTGTGTTGTTGCTTCTGTATGATTTATGGTCTAGAGAATAAGCTAAAGCTAAGTTATCTGTGTCGATGCTCTGTTCAGCCCTCATTCTGTACATCGTGCACATGCTGGAGAAAGCGAGAAGGTCTTAAGGGAAGCTTTTGCTGAAGCTACTTCTCACGCTGCTTCAGACAAGCCCTCTGTGATTTTTATTGATGAAATCGACGTTCTTTGTCCTCGGCGAGATGCTAGGTATAGGGTCACACAAATATTTGATACTCCTAGTTCATCATTGTTATTTTGGTTGAGATTTTTAAGAGATTGAGCTTCTTTCTATTATGTAGACGAGAGCAAGATGTTCGTATTGCTTCTCAACTCTTTACACTAATGGACTCAAACAAGCCTTCATCATCTGCACCGAGAGTTGTTGTTGTAGCATCCACAAATAGGTTCTTTTCTACTTTAGACATTACCTTAGTTTTTATACATTTGTATTCGAATGTGATGATTCAACAGTTTTCCCCGATTTTGTCAAAAGGGTGGATGCGATTGACCCAGCACTAAGAAGGGCGGGACGATTTGATGCTTTAGTTGAAGTGAGCACGCCAAATGAGGAAGATCGTTTAAAAATCCTCCAGGTAATTTCGAGTTCTTTAGTGGGGCTGCTTATTGCTGTTTTGGATGTAACTATTTTTTGAGCTTCGTGTTTGCTATTTTTTCAGCTGTACACGAAGAAAGTAAATTTAGATCCTAATGTTGATCTGGAAGCCATAGCAACATCTTGCAACGGTTATGTTGGGGCAGATTTGGAAGCTCTGTGTCGTGAAGCGACCATATCTGCAAGTAAAAGATCCTCTGATTCTCTTATCCTTACATCGGAAGACTTCAAGATTGCAAAATCTGTGGTTGGTCCAAGTATAACCAGAGGCATTACAGTTGAAATCCCTAAGGTTACATGGGATGATGTTGGTGGTCTTAAAGATCTAAAGGTCAATACTCATCTGATTTTTTACTTGGTCTTACTGCTTTTCCATATCGATTAATGGTTTTGTTTTCTATCTGACAGAAAAAGCTTCAGCAAGCTGTTGAATGGCCAATCAAACATTCTGCTGCATTTGTAAAAATGGGCATATCGCCGATGCGTGGGATACTTCTCCATGGTCCTCCGGGTTGCTCAAAGACAACTCTTGCTAAAGCTGCTGCAAATGCTGCTCAAGCGTCCTTCTTTTCTTTAAGGTATGGTTTGTACAGATCAGAAAGTTGACAACTTAGCTCATGTTCAAGGAAATATCCCTTTTGGTTGTGAAACTTGTCTAACGGAACTGATTTTTCCTTGTGTCTTTGTGCTCGGTGCAATATAGCTGTGCGGAGCTATTTTCTATGTATGTTGGAGAAGGTGAAGCATTATTGCGTAATACTTTTCAAAGAGCCCGACTTGCTTCTCCAAGTATAATATTCTTTGATGAAGCTGATGTTGTTGCCTGTAAAAGGTTTGTTTCTATCTCTCCTAACTCTTGCTCCCCGTCAGAGACTGTTAACATGTTTATATCCACTGATCTTTGTAGAGGCGATGAAAGCTCAAGTAATAGTTCTACAGTTGGAGAAAGGCTTCTATCTACATTGTTAACTGAAATGGACGGTCTTGAAGAAGCAAAGGTAAACAAAAGCTCATAGGCTTTAATAGATTATACCTCTGTTTTCGGGTTGCAATGATATTGATAGTTTTTGGTTTAGGGAATACTCGTCTTGGCTGCCACAAACCGTCCATATGCAATTGATGCTGCTCTAATGCGGCCTGGTCGATTTGATCTCGTAAGTCCTCATATTGGATCTTTTGATCAGAAAAGTTCTGAAATAGCAAACCTCATTGCTACTCGCTTCTTGAAATATCTTGTATTAGGTGCTATACGTGCCACCACCTGATCTCGAAGCTCGGTTTGAAATACTGCAAGTGCATACACGTAACATGACACTAGGAGACGACATTGATCTCAAGAAAATAGCTGAAGAAACCGAACTCTTCACAGGTGCCGAGCTCGAGGGTCTATGCAGAGAAAGCGGAACTGTCTCCCTTAGAGAAAACATTGCAGCAACTGCCGTCTTCAATCGCCATTTCCAAACCGCAAAAAGCTCGCTAAAACCCGCATTAACAATCGAAGAAGTCGAAACTTATTCATCATTCAGGAAGGCCAAAAGATCACCTTCAAAACCAACTCCGAGTAGGAAAAAGAAGGAGACGTCCGCTGTATTCGGTTTAGGATTCTCATGGCAATTTGGTGTTTTAAGCTTAATATTATTTGCTACTGGAAACTATTACTTCAACCACACTAAACATGAGTTACTAGTAGCTTCTGCTACATGAGACTTCAACAGTTACAAATATCAAAAAAAGTTCCCAATTTTTGTTTTCTTCATAAATCCCAAAATATCTTTTGTTTCAAAGTTTATATTTCTTACTTTTTCACTCCAAATCCAAAAGACCTAAATAATAATCTCAACTTTCATAAAGCTCTAATTAAATTTTAACCAAAATTAATAATTAAAATTCGAAATCATTGTTTTAATCAAAATCTGAAATCTTTTGTCTTTTTTGGTTAACCGATCAATTGAACCGGAACGGTGACACTAGCTTAACCGGAGTGAGCTTATATAAAAATACTGGCTCGTTAATGACTCAGTAACAGTTCTGAGTCTCTGTGTTTCTTTCTTCTCTCGAGTATTCACCAAAGGTGTGTTTCTCAAACCCTAAAACTCTCCAGATCGATTTGATTACGTTTCTCTGATGTTCATAGGCGAGCTTGATCGTAGATTTCACTATTTTGATTCCTCTATTATGCTTTATGGATTATGATGTTTTAATCCAGTTTTAGGAGATTTCGTAGATTCATGAATTAAGAGTTATGGTGATTTGATTTTTAATGGCTTTAGATCTTTATTGTTCTAATTCACACTTGTTCCTGTATTTTAACCTCTCTTCCTTTAGAAATTGGCTATAAAATTAAAGGTTTCTTCGTCTAATTCTCCTAAGATTCTGCGAGAGTTGTGAATTTTGATGCTAGAAGCAGCAAAATTGAATTCATTCTCACTTGTACAGAGTTGCTTAGTATATGGACTTTGTTACAGATCGAAAGATAACGCTTCTATGTCATAATTTCTTATTATATTTCGGGTTTTGCTTTGTTGTTAGGTTTCGTTTTATAGTACAAATGGGTTGTGGAAACATCTGTGGTGGAGGTCAAAGTTGAATTTTTAGAGTCGCAGTTTGGTTTAACCAGAGAGATCTCTAGGAAAGATGATCATTGAAAGAGCTCGAGTTCCGTTGAGGCGATGGCAACAAGCTGCGGTGGCGATGGGATCTGCTATCGGTGCGTTGGTAGATCCTCGTAGAGCGGATCTGATCGCAGCTCTTGGTGAAACCACCGGTAAACCAGCTTTTGAAATGGTTCTTGAGAGGATGAAGAAGAGCGAAGAAGGAAGAGTGAGTTTTTCTTATCTCTCTGCTTCTCTATTTGTTCGACAAAATCATGGATTTGTGAATGGATTGGAGATTGTTTTGTATTAGCATATTGACTTGATTTTGATTACCAATTGTGCGATGAGTGATGTTGAATGGCTGAGCTATGAACAATTCTTAGGTTTAGGTTGTGAGTTTGATTTTCTCAATTGATAGTATTGGTACCAGGTTTTGCTTGTTAAGTGATTTTGGTTACAATGGTGTTTTGATCTTTGGTGGTATCTTTACTTTGTAGGCTATATTATTGGAGCGTCCTCGTGTTGTGTCAGAGCAAGTAGGTCATGCTTGGGATCTACCAGACAACACATTTGGAGCTGCATATGCTAAATTCATGGGATCTAGAAACTTCTCTCCCGATGATCGTCCGCCAGTAAGATTCATGGAGACTGATGAATTAGCTTACGTAGCGACGCGGGCGCGTGAAGTGCATGACTTATGGCACACTCTGTTTGGCCTTCCTACGAATCTTATCGGCGAGTCGGCTTTGAAAGTTATAGAGTTCGAGCAGATGTATCTACCAATGTGTATGCTTTCTGTAATTGGAGGCACTGTGAGGTTCAACGAGAAGCAGAGATCAATGTTCTTGAAACATTACTTTCCATGGGCTGTTCGAGCAGGAAGACAATGCACTGACCTCATGTGTGTGTACTATGAGCGTCACTTTAACGAAGACTTAGAGCAAGTTCGAAGAAAATGGGGAATCATCCCAGCTCCTCAACATCCTAAATGATAGATTTACGATGCTTAGTGTTTACACTTTTGGTTATGAAACTTGTCTAAACATGAATTACGAGTAGATTCTGCTACATGAGACTTTAAACAGCTCAAAGTTAAAAGAAAATTATAATTTTGTTTTCTTCATAAATTCCAAAATATATTTTGTTTCAAAGTTTCAAAAAATTTAAATGATAAAAAAACGGCTAATAATTTAGATTCGAACAATGACAAAGACATGGCCCATCAACCTCACTACCGTCGTGAAATTTACTTAAAGGCACCAATAATTTCACTGGCTTAGTGTTTACTAATTTGATTAATTTTTTGTTTGTTTCCACTCTAAATCCGAAACAGTTATTTCAACTTTCACAAAAACTCCTATCTTTTGAAGTCATATCTTTCTAATCAAAGATATTTATTTCATTGGGAAATATGTAATTTTGCTTTTAACTAATCAAAAATTTAAAAGTTTTTTGCTTTGTCCTAGTTAACCGATAAATCGAACCGGAACACCTCACACTAGCTAAACCGGAGTGAGCTTATTATATATAGAGTGGCTCGCTTCTATGACTCAGTAGTCAGTGCCGAGTCCTGCGTTTTGCTTCATCTTCTTCAGTTTCTTCTTCTAGATCTGATCGCGAGTTTTCACCAAAGGTTTGTTTCTCCTCCCCTAAAACCCTTTAGATCGCTTTGATTTCGTTTCTCTCATGTTCATAGGGGAGTTTAGATCGTAGATTCTTCTGATTTTGATCTCTCAGTTATGGTGTTTTTTAAAGCCTTAATTTAGGAGATTCCGACTCTTACTGATTTCGTAGATTCAGGAATTTTACAAAATGGTGATTCGAATTCTATAATCTTAGATCTGAGATTGTTCTTCGCACTTGTTCCGTTACCTTCAAAATTGGCTTACGAAACTAGGTTTCTTCTTCCTCTGATACTTCCTGGGAAAAATTGTCTTGTTGTTCTTACTAAGATTCGTCGAGAATTGTGAAAATAATTTAGTTGCGGATTTTGCATTGGCCTATGTTGTTGTTTTGTGTGTTTATCTTCTAGGAGCTCTGAATCTTTCATCTCTGATTGTGAATTTGTAAGAAACTTTTATGCATTGATGACAGAAGCAGCATTTCATAATTGAGTTCAGTCTCACTTGTTACATATTTGTGTGATTTTATACCAATATTAGCATATTGAATGTATAATGATGATGATGCTTTCGAAGTTCATAGTTATATATTGGGTTTTGGCTTTGTTGCTAGGTTTCAGTTTATAAAAATGGGTCGTGGAAACAGCTGTGGTGGAGGTCAAAGCTCATTGGACTATCTCTTTGGTGGTAGTGACGCTCCTGCTCCTAAGCCTGCTCCAGCTCCTCGTCCTGCTCCTACTGAAACCAACAACAGCACTGCACCACCTGTATCAGCTCCGACTGCAACCGCGCTCACGACTGCTACTACTCCAGTTGAACCAGCTGAGGTCAACAAGCAGATTCCAGCTGGTATCAAAACTCCTGTCAACAACTATGCAAGAGCTGAAGGACAGAACACCGGCAACTTCCTCACTGTATGTTTTGGTTTTCTGTGTCCTTTACTCGAATATTTGTGAATGATATGGTAATGAGACTCACTCACATTGATGGTTTATCTATCTCTCAACAGGACCGTCCTTCGACCAAAGTGCATGCAGCTCCTGGAGGAGGATCATCTTTGGATTATCTCTTCACTGGTGGGAAGTAGAATAATTTGCAAAGGCGTATATCTATCTATGCATTGTCTTTGCTATCATTTTCTCGCTATAAAAACTGTTTGATGTGAGCCTTTAAATGATGAGAAGTCGGTTTCTCGTCTCTCCTTGTCTCAACTCTTTATCTGTAATATTCTGCTGAAAAATGTTTTGAATCGTAACAAAAAAAAAAAAAAAAAAAACTTCAAGTTGTCTGTTATTAACCATCAATGCAAAAGCACAAGTTCTGAAAATCACTCAGTGATCGAATACATTACACACACTAGGATAGTACCATGGCCACCGACGCTTGTTGCCATCACCTCAACGGAAACGACTATTCTTAAAATATCAGATTAGAGTCGGTGGACGACACGACGACGATGAGTTTGTGTGAATTATGATCCTATTAAGCCGATTTCAATTTGGGCTTATTGTATTTGGGACATTTAACAAAAGAACAGTCAAGAGATACTATAGCGTCTAGACATATAGATAAGAGAGACCATTGGGCTTTGGCCCATAACAGTATAAAAATAAAATTAAAGATAAGTAATGGATATATAGATAAGAGAGACCATTGGGCTTTGGCCCATAATAGTATAAAAATAAAATTAAAGATAAGTAATGGATATATAGATAAGAGAGACCATTGGGCTTTGGCCCATTACAGTATAAAAATAAAATTAAAGATAAGTAATGGATATTCTGTAAGCCTCCGGCGAGGATCGAACTCGCGGCCTTTCGCTTACGAAGCGAACGCAATACCACTATGCTACAGAGGCACTCACGCATTGACATTATTCAGTATAATATTTTTATAAAATTAGTAGTATTAATTTACAGCAAATTTTTCTTGTTTGCTAAATTTAAACGATTATAACAAAATGATGTAGGCAATAAAGATAGAACAATAGAACATAGTAAGGAGTAATAAAAAGATAGATAAGCAGTTTGATAGGGTGTGAAATTTTTTTGTCGAAATGACAAATAATAAAAATATTTGGGAGAGATGCAAGTTCTAATTCGATTTTTTATAAATGATTTGGAGATGGTCACTTTAATTTATAATTTAGAGATATGATGTAAACTTTAATTCTCGTCAGATTAGATGGATAAAAAAATTGTTAGGACTAAAATCTTTTCAATGCAGGATGGTTCCATTTCTTGCACCATATGTAAGCTTTGCTAAATGAATATAATTGCAACTACAACAGTAATAATTTTGGTTTCGTAATGGCTTGTACGTCTGAACTTTATTCAAATACATGAAAAAGATGCAAATTTAAAAGTAAACACTATATATTAACTTAAAGATTGATCGAAACAAAATAAACGTTTTGGTGTTAGTGTATATCGCTTTTTAGAAATACGTAATAGTGAAATAATAACTTATATATAACTATATAATTATTTTCTTTGAATATTAACTTACATAATAATTACCCATATGTTTTTACTATATGAGCATCTAATTATTCTTATACAATGACATTGTGTTTCATTCTACTGGTTTAAAAAAAAAAAAAAATATTAACTTTTCTTGGTTGAACTAAATTTGCATGGGTTTATTAGTTGATTTACTTAATATTAAACATCTTTCATTTCACATCAAAAAATGGCTACCATGATAAAAAAAAAAAAATTGATTCAATTATTTAAATAAATATCAATGTCACTTCGTTTTAATTGTGGTGATTATCTATTAATAATCATATATTAATAAATATAATTACTATATTAATAATCATAAAATGATAGCTCACTTACTATAAAATGATAAATAAGATTATTGTATCACTTTAATTAGATTATGGTATAGTAATGTAGTTTATGAGAGTCTTTATAATATTAATATAGTAGATTATTAAATTATACTGAAATTTGTGTTATATCAGTTGCTGACGAACAACGACATAGTACGTGTAGTCTATCTTATACCAAAGGTCCAGCTCGTCAATGGTGAAAAAAAATTAAGAGAGTCAAATTTATTGTCACAATATTTGAAACACCAGATTATTTTTCTGACCTCAGCTTTAGATTTAATTCGTTGTACCTAACTAGTTTTCATTAACATGGATTATGAATATGGTGTATTAGAGATAAGTAAACCATCTTTCATTGATCAAGTTGATGGCAAATTGCTTTACATTTTAGCTCTATAGTTTGACATTTTTTTCAAATTATGAAATACCCCATTTTGTATTTTATTTGGTTATACAAATACAATATTAAATTATTTAAATTGTACATTTATTGAATATTTTTGTTCGTATATAAAACCAATAATATAATATGTTGTTATAAGATTTAATTTAAAAAAATTCAGTTGTACTTTTACCACACAAAAAAAAAAACAATCAATTCGGAACCAAAACCGAATTTGGGATCTACAAACCGAACCAAACGCAAATCTACTTTTGGTCCAATTGGTTTACTACAGTTTTCTATTACGCACATTCCGAAATTTCGGTACGTGATATCAAAACCTCAAGTTCTATCTAATGTTCTGTTATAATATGAGAGAATGTGTTAATTATAAGAATTGCAAATCTTTTGTTCTGTGTTTTCACAAATATTCACAAATCTACACAAGAGAACGACACGTGTCAATCCAGGCACGTGATGTACTTTATGGACTGTTTCGTTTCAATCACACCAACACATCCGAAAACATAACTATTATTTACGCCAACGAGAACTCGACACGTATCCCTACTCTGTCCCTCTCTTACATTTCTCAAACCTGTGGCCTGCGTATGCTTCCCTCATCTTACGTTTGGATTTGTTAAGAGTGAGTGAGAGATTAAAAAGAAAGAGTATCTCCAAAAAAAGTACACAATTATCTTACAAAAAATTATTTTAAATTTTTATTAAATGTTTTTATTCTAGGTAAAAAATTATTTTAAATTAATTCTACTATTTGTAATGTTTAAAATAAAATAATATCTATTATTTCTTATTTTAAAGTATGGCGTACCATTTCGATTTACCAAATAAAACGATCTTAGTGATTTAGTAAATTTAGTAAAGGGTGGCACATTATTGTAGTAAGGTGTGTGGAAGTCTTTTCTAACAAAGGAGATTATATTTTTCACATAAGTATATAAATATTTTAACATGAAGTACAATATTTTTCAAAGAGATTCCAATCAACGTTAAATGCTGCAGAGAACCAGAAAAAAGTTGTTAAAAGTTCGTGTCTCAACAAACATATTCAAATGCCTATGCTATGCATATGGTCTCCATGGAGTAAAGAGTAACTAGGGTTCTTAGCCCATCATGGGGTCTAATATAGTTCCAGTTTGTTAGTCTAAATATATGCAGAAGAAGCATCAGAAATGCTACGTTACATATGGTGTCATGAAACCTATACTACGGCTATTCCCATTTAACCAAAGACAATAGTAATAACTTACATGGAGTACCGTATTATATAAATGGACCTACGGGTTTTTATTATCTTTGTGTCTACAAAATAATATAAAATCATAATCGTACATCCAAGGGACTTCTCCTCAACAGAAGAGAGAATTGCTAGTAGCTACTAGCTACCCCCAAATATATACAGAAACGAACAGAAGTAATAATCGAGTTTCTGAGAGTATTATTATTGTTTTCTTTTCAAATTATCGTTTTGGATTTTGGTGGTTCTTGCAAAACTAGCTATTCTTATATTTTGTTTTCTTTTCTTAACTAGACTCTTTTTGTTTCTGAACTAGATAAAACATATACTTAGCCAACAATTCACTTGTGACAACATATAGTAATTTGTGGAGATATGTACAGATATTAAAATGGTACGGTTGATCACGACTAGTGCAAGTATTATCTACCTTAACTATATATCCATCAATATAGAAGATGGAATAGCATATATTGCAAGTATTCTCACGTATTTATTCCTTTTTCTTAGATGTTTACTAAAGCATCTAATCTATATGTTGCATATTGTAATAAGGTGACCACTCGGAAATCGGAATTATAAAAGGAATGGTGGAGGATAGCGAGTGCGTAGATGATAAGGTTCATTTTTTACTTGATGATAAAGATAAGATATGTACATCAAGTTTCCATCAAGAAGATAATTAATCAACTAAAATGAAAAAAAAAAAAAATAATTGTGTTAGAAAAAAATTGAATTGATGAATAGGTTGAACAAGATAACTAAGGTGTATACCAAGTGAAACATGAGTCAGCAAGCAAAGTTTAGAAAAGAGTTGTGTGAGAGACATGTCACATGAGAGTAAATTAACAACCATCATCATCATGATGTAGCCGGAGATATATATAGTATAAGATGCCATGAGAAGAAATGAGAAAAACAAAAATTTTACCTGACAAGAAGCATCCTACAAATTAACCTGTCAAGCAATTACCAAGCTTTTTCTTTTAAGTAAAAAAAAAAACTATTCGTATTAAAAAGAAGCATCATACAGAAAAAGTTGAAAATCTTAGGATTTGAGAGCTAAACTGTTCATAAATCTACAATGTTTGTTTCGAGCATCGATGAGTCATTGTTATAACTAAATCTATATAATATTTAGCTTGAAATCAAGATTTGATATATAAATCTGAAATCTAGAGCCGTTACGTAAATGATAATACTGTATTTATGTAAGGACTTTTTTGATTAGACATAACATAATCAAAATACATACCTCCTTTTAAAAGAAAACCTAAACACGAAAACCCTCTAATTAATGCTAGATTACATATTCTTAAACATCTAATCTTATATTACTGAACAAGATCAATATGTAACCATGACAATGTCTCAATATATATGAAAAAGAAGACATAAATAGTACACGTGAAACGTAAAAAAACTTTGTGAAATAAAAAACATTTCTCTTAAAATAGTAAATAGTACGTACTATATCAGATTAACCATTTCAGTGTGTGACATAATTTTGTTTGCAACCGTATAGATCCGTTCTATGCATTTAAACGATCGTGAAGTAGCTGTCATACGAAAGAACCTGTCGGCAAAGAGAAGCAAAGAAGAAAGAAAAAAACATATCTTTTAAGAAGCCTATCATTTTCTTACTTTCATTTCACAATATATATGCATTATAGTGTTCTATTCTCTATCTATACATAATCTAAACGTGTCAATACCTGAAAAAAAATAAACTTTATTTTACTTGTTTTTTCATAATTTCATGAACAATAATAATACATAACCAGATAAATAGATAGGATTTGGACTTATGAATATGCTCTATTTAAGGCATCTTTATAGGTTATATATAGAATCTTTTTCTTATTTCTTTTTTTGAGCATATTATTAAACTATGGACTAGATCTGATGAAAGAATTCAATCTATTTATATAAAAATATATAATCATTCTTGAAATCCAATGGAGGAGGGTGAAAGAGAAAAGTTAGAGCATTTTGTTTGGACTAGAGACTAGAAAGAGAGAGAGATATCTTAACTCTCATTAGAAAAAGTACTAGGAATCAATTTTTATTTTCTATAAAAAACAAAAGATGTACAGAGAAATAATAATAATATATATATTCTCAAGAATAAAATAATGTGTGTATATAAAAAAAATTACTTTAAAGATATTTTTTATTTTATCTTTTTTATAAAAGGAAAGTTTATGAGATTGGGATATAAGTTTGTAAGCTTTTATTTGGCCAAGAATGGCTTAGCATCTCTGCAAAACCAACACAAAGCTCTTTTTTATTCTCTTCAAAATCATTCCAACAAAAGAAGAAACCCTGAAACACAAACTGGCCCACCCACCACCACTACCACAATATCTCTCCTTCCTCCTCCACCACCACCACCAGAGTCATCACCGGGACAAGTAATGAGGAAACCAATTCATGCCCTAGATTAAGAACCAGAATCCTTTTTTTTTAGACAAGATCTCTCTACATACACTCTACACATTTCACTTGTACTTTATAATACTACCTTTATCTATGTGTGTGTATATAAAGCTTCACTTGTTGCTTTAGGGGTAAGTAAAGGAAGAAACTTTTCAGTTGGGTTTCTTTTATTTTTTTTTGGTTTGTTGATTGTGTTGAAGAAGATAGAGAGATGGGAAGAGGCAAAGTAGAGCTGAAGAGGATAGAGAACAAGATCAATAGACAAGTTACTTTTGCAAAGAGAAGGAATGGTTTGCTTAAGAAGGCTTATGAGCTTTCTGTCCTTTGTGATGCTGAGATTGCTCTTCTCATTTTCTCTAACCGTGGCAAGCTCTACGAATTTTGCAGCAGCCCTAGGTACAACTCTCTAATCTTTGATCCACTTCTTTCTTTCAGATTTAGGGTTTTGATTCTTTGAAAATATATATTGTGTCTTTTTCTTGATTGTGTTACAATTAATTAGATGATTAGGGTTCATTTCTTTTGTTAGTTCTGGGTTTTATTATGAACAAATCTGGCTCTCTCTCCCAGAGAGTGATATTAAGTACTTAACAAAGGATGATCAAATTTAGTTACAAGGGTCTTAGCTAGCTAGGTGCTCTAGATGATGATTAAAACTATAGACATAGCTTGGATTAAAGAAGAAAAAAGTACATAAGGTTTGTGTATAGAAACTATATAGGACATAATAATATAGTTAAAGCTTTTACACATGAGATTGAGTGTTGATCCAAGTTTCCAAAGAGACAAAGAATTGACCTCTGGATATACACACAAAGCTGTAAAGATATATATAAAAAATACTTTGACTACTTCTTTAAGTTAGTATCTCTCTCAAGTACTTATTATGATGATCTTATTAAAGTTAAAGAGACAACTGTGATGATACTCAAATTTCACAATTTCTTTTTGCACATAATTAACAAAGTATTCTTTATTGTTTTTTTATTAACAAAGTCTCTAAGTTCTTGCTAAAAACATCATGATGATCTTGATATTCTTGGTTTTTTAACATAGATGTTTTAGAAAGCTTTAAAGGGTTTTTGCTTGACCGTATGAGGCATTTTAAGTTCAATGATCAATATTTGTTTATGTGAAGTGGTATGGCGAAGACGGTTGATAAGTATAGAAAACATAGTTATGCAACAATGGACCCAAATCAATCAGCTAAAGACTTGCAGGTAAACATCTTTTCTATATCTATATCAGTGGTCAGAGACTGACCTCATAGTTACTGAAGTTGGCATTAAATTTATCTTAACTGCCAGGATAAGTACCAAGACTACTTGAAGCTCAAATCAAGAGTTGAAAACCTTCAACATTCACAAAGGTATGTATAGCTTGATTCGTAGCACATTTTAAATGTAGATTGCTCAATCCTATCATTTAATATGCCTTCTCTCTAGGCATTTGCTTGGTGAAGAGCTAGCCGAGATGGGAGTGAATGAGCTTGAGCAGCTTGAACGCCAAGTAGATGCATCACTAAGACAAATAAGATCAACCAAGGTACAAAACTAAAGACAAGTTTTTAGTCTATAGTTTGGTCCTGAGAGCCATTTAGATAGAACATGTACCAAATCTTGGCTTCTTTTTTATTGCCAGGCTAGGTCAATGCTTGATCAACTATCTGATCTCAAAACAAAGGTACATACATTACACACAATACGAATTACACAATGTCCATAATCTCAATGCAATACACTCTCTCATATTCATCAATTTACAGGAGGAAATGTTATTGGAAACCAACAGAGACCTTAGGAAAAAGGTAGCTATCAATCGAAATCTTCTATCTCAAGAAACTGAATCCTTTGAGACCTCTTTAAACATTCCTTGTATCTTTCTCAGTTGGAGGAAAGTGATGCTGCGCTTACTCAATCGGTTTGGGGAGCTTCTGCGGCAGAACATTCCCAACAACTACAGCAACAACAACAACTACAGCAGCAACAACAACAACAACAACAACAACAACAACAACAACAACAACAACAACAACAAGGCATGAGCTCTTATCAACCGAACCCTCCAATTCAAGAAGCAGGTTTCTTCAAGCCACTACAAGGCAATGTAGCATTGCAAATGAGGTATTCACATAAACAAATAATTAAGACCCTTGAATTGATTCTCCTTATCACATTGTCAGAAACATGTAACCTTTACTTGTGTTTCTTTAATGTTTTGATATAATTAGCAGTCATTACAATCACAATCATGCTGCTATGACAAACGCAAACAACTCTGCAACAACATCACAGAATGTTAACGGATTCTTCCCAGGGTGGATGGTCTGAAACGATGATATACATATATGTGTGTTTTATAGATCAAAGATCATTATTGCTTTGTGTCCTTTAAGTTTTGCCAGAGAAACATTGTTCATTAATTATTACAAACTCTGTTATATAATCAAGCGCTGTAATGTCAAACCCCAGATCATTACCTTTTTTTTAGCTCTCTTGACATATATAACATTGTTTTTGAGCTTTTTAACATACAATGTTTTGTTTTAAATATTATAAATATGAATATCAAGAATAGGATTCTGAAACAAGTAGTGCTCTGCATTTGTATCAAGATTGTGATATGGATAATTAAAAGACCTAAAGAAATTATATAAAAATTATGAGAATTTTGCCAGGTTGGATTATATTGAACAAGTCCAAAATCCTTTTTTAATTTTCATGGCACGCACGTTCAAGAAATGGCTCCAACCAAAACCAAACATAACAGTATTTAAAACACAAGAAAAAATCTCAAAGATAACAGAGCAGAAACACACAAGAGAATGGGGAAACCAGCTGGGTATTGGGTGAATAAGATCAGGACATCATTCAAAGGAGGATCGTCTTCGAGCAAATCGTTGGATGAAGGAAGCACTTCTGGTTCAAGAAAGAACGGTTCGAAGCATAGTAAGAATCTGAAAGCAGAGGAAGCTAATAAGAATGGTGGTGAAGGAGGAGTTCAAGTTGAGAGTGGGAGGAAAGTGATGGTTGTTGTGGACACAACTTCACAATCTAAGAATGCTCTTCAATGGGCATTAACACATTGTGTTCAAGATGAAGACAATATCACTCTCCTCCATGTTACAAAAACACCCGTAGGACAAGGTATCTCTACAAATAGTTTTTACATCTATACTCATGTTTTGCATTTACTAAACCTCTAAGTTAGAGATGAATGTCATGACCCTTTAGAGCCAAAATTGGAACCATATTATATATTGCCTGAATAAAATCTGGACCGGCTCTTTTGAGTTATTGGGCCTCATATAATGTTTTGCGCTTGTTCGGCCCAATATTAATTTCTTTTCTTTGTTTAATCAAATTGTTAGGTTTAAGTGGTTTTAAAAAGGGGTTTAGGATTTTATGTAGAACCCTTGTGTTAGAGATGTTAATTATAAAAAAGTACAAATCTAAATTCTCTGTTTCATTAATAAATAAGTGAAGAAACTATTAAAATTTTGCTAAAAATTTCTCATTGAACACACTTTTAGGTGATAAATTTCATAGTTTTTTTTTATATGTCCCTATTTATTTTGTTTGTTTGTTTAGGAATTTTGGATGTACTAGCATGCTTTGACATCTACACCTTATTTAAGTCTCTATTGACTAATCACTGAGTTTATTATGTTAATAGCTATAGATGAGACACAAAGGGAGAGAAACTCAAGGGCTCATGAATTAGTTCATCCGTTGAAGAACTTTTGCCAACTCAAGAAACCTAACGTAAGCTTTAGGTTACAACAAATCGATATTGATTTTAATGTCAAAGCTAGAGTTAATTTGAGTGGGTTTTGATTTCAGGTCAAAACAGAGGTAGTGGTGGTGGAGACGGCAGAGGAGAAAGGGAAGACGATAGTTGAGGAATCAAAGAAACAAGGAGCAGGAGTTTTGGTTCTAGGGCAGAGAAAGAGAACCTCCAAGTGGCGCGTGATCTGGAAATGGCGTGCGAAGGGAGGAATGGGAGGAGGAGTTGTTGAGTATTGCATTCATAACTCTGATTGTATGGCTATTGCCGTAAGGAAGAAGAGTAACAATGGAGGTTACTTGATCACCACGAAACGTCACAAAGATTTCTGGCTCTTGGCTTAATTATCTCATTATTACATCACACCAAATTGATCTTAAATTCCACTTTTTATTTTGTAATCGAAATGAATCTTTCCAAATTGATGGTCTGTATTCGTCAAAAGAATTTGTTTTCATGTAAAGACTTTATAATTTGTCAATGTTTGTTCTTGTGTTCATCATCAAAATATGATAGTAATATAAGCAAAGCTTTATCAAGAAAAATAAAGAAATATAGGTAGATGAGAAGTTATACATAGATCAAGATTTGATTGGCTCATTTATTGAACGATGTTCAATTTCCTAGAACGATTCAGAGGACTTTGAAACTCGTTTCGGGTTTCTAAGCAAACTTTAGATAGACTCTTGGGGTACTACACTTACACTACTACATTTTGAAAGACGTCTTGAGAATTTTGAATGTTTTTTTTGTTTTTGTTATACATTCATTCACATATGCTACAATTAATTTTGTGTGTTTTTTATTTTGACATTACAGTGACTAGACATAAATTACATTTTTAAAAGTTTGTAATATTTAAGTTAAATTAAAATGTTACAAATACTTGAAAACATAATAGGAAAAGAGAAATATATATTTAACAAATCATATGAAATATCTTTATTATTATTATTCCATCAAAGAATATAATAATTCGGACAAATAATAATTCCAAGAAACTCCATATATTTTTCAAATAGATCATGCAGATTAATAAATATAATGAGGATGGTCTAGACTAAAAAAAAAGATTCTAAAATTGATATAAATTACAAAAAATAAAATTAAAATACGAAACTCAAATTAAATTTAAAGAGTTTAAAAACATTTAGATATGAAAACGAAGAACTACAAAAAAAAACATTTAGATTTGAAAACGAAGAACTACAAAAAAACATTCTCATAAATCAAGTGTGATGTCGTCGGTTTCAATGTTTAACATTATTCAGTTCTATAAGTTTGGTTGCGTCGAGATGGTGGGATCAAATAAGGGTGAAGTTGAGTCATTACTAGACTCCAATATGCAATATCTTCGTATTTCTTGTCCAATTCTTGAATCTTTAGTTTAGCTTCACTAAGCTCTCGTTGCGTTTGCATATACTTTTCTTCGTATGATTGGGAAAATGATGAACTTTCTTGTTTCATCCTATTCGCTGCTAGCTACATACATAATATAAGGTGAGATTGTAAGAACATTAATAACATATAAAGTGTTGTTAAAAATTTGATTAAACAATACTTACCAAGCAAAACAAAATGTCTTTCTTCTCCGCTTGAGTGAGTGAGAAGTCATCAGCTTGAGTCATTTGTGTGACATCTTTGGATATTACATCGTCTTTCCTCCCCCGGGAAGATTTGGCATCAGAGATAGCTCCGGCGACGGTTTTAGCAACGTTGAAGACATCCATTGCGACATTCACGGCGGCTTTTGCAGTGCCGACGTAGTTTATCGTATTAACGGTGGCGCTTGCTAGGGCACTCAATGCCTCGAAGAAAACCATTATTTTGCTCTTCTTCAAAATTTGTATTCGTATAGTTTCACACGATACCAGAAATTATAAATGTAAGTAAATTTATGTGAAAATTAGTTAATGAAGGGTTAATGTCAGAAACTCGTTTCAAGTTTCTAGGAAATATGAAAAGACACAAAATAAGTGGGAACTTGAACTCTACATACGCATGGTTTTATTACAACGTTTGGTTTTTCTCTTAAAACTCCAAATTGGGATTGGCTGTTTTGTTGAGTACTGTATTACAGTAGTAATTGCGTGAAATTTATTAGAATACCAAACGGTAGATTAGAAGATGTAAAATAATTATGAGGTTAGTTTTAATTTCATGAAGGTCTTCAACAGAGATTGGGGACTATAATCCCTTTATATATAAAAAAAAAAAGTAATTAAGGATAGGAAAAAACTATACTCCCTTTAATTAGTAGAAGGAAACTAAACCATAACTTTAAAGATGAGAAAATTAAAAATTTTAAACTTCAACTACTAAAATTTTGATTTGTTATCCTATGGTTTTGATGTCACCAAAAATTAAATAATTAAGAAAGTTAAATAGTAAAATTATACAAGTTCACACTAGTGTTATGCATGTATGGTTCTCCTTGATAAAATTAAATCATAAGAATAAAACGCCAAAAGACATCGTCGAGCTCACACACTACTTCTCGTATATATTGGTACAAGATCATATGCGCAACCACTTCTCCTCAATTTTGCATTACCCTAACTCCATTTTGCAACTTACTGTTCATGCAAGACTTTTTTGCAAGAAGCCAAGATAGAAAGGTTTCAGTTCCTTTCATTTTGCAACTAACTGTTTATGAAATATTTTGTAAGAAGTTTTTTTTTTTTATTGTAGAAAAATCAAAGGTGATAATCCACTTTTCAAATTGAGCATTTTGTTTTAATATTTTTTATCTTCATCATATCTAAAAATATCATTACCACAATATCGCTCTTTTCTCTCTCCCGTAAATGTTCAGAACTGAATCTTTTTCTATATGTATTAATCAAAATAGGAGATGAGTCTTGGTAATATGTTTCTGGTCTGACGCAGCAAAATTTAAATTTCGTGATTACGAACAATGAATATTGAACAAGAAAAGGAGTAAAATAGAATAAACTTTTATTAAAACATAACAATCATAACACGGTACATATGACATATCACATGAAACCTAGCTAAGTATTGTTATTCACACATACTCAAATACTTATTTGTTACGAAGGTTTCGAAAATAGGCTTTGGGGTTGCTTTCGAATGCATTCCTTGAAATTCTACCATCCTTCCCTGGAGCCTTCATTGTCTTCATGTTAGGGTCCGAACCCATTCCGGAGAACAATCCGGCAACAGCTCCGATGACACCTACGACGGCCATGGCGATTCCAAGATATGATTTTTTCTCGTTACTGTTACTGTTGGTGTCGCTCATTTTGATATATGTATATATTAAGATATGGTAGTCACAGTTTTCAGATTTTACTTAACTGTTGGTTGGAGAGGAAGAAGAGTTACATGTGACTTCTTTTTTTATAGTTGTGTAGATGTGATGCCAAACGATTTGTTAGAAGATGTGTGAATTTAAAACTCAATTTACTAGGGAAGAGACTTTAATTACGACTGTTTATTAGAATTGAATGGTACAGTTTGGAGTTGATTGGGAATTTCTAAGGACGAATAGTTTTTTTTTTTTGGATAAAATACTTCGTAGTTCGTAAACAAATTTAATGGGAATCGAAACAATTTTAAACGTAACTGATTTATTATTTATCATCTCCAAACGGTGATGAATTTTATTATATTTTGCATGCAGTGATTATATTTAGAACAAAAATATATGAAAAGTTTCGAGAATTTTTATTTTTTTTTCTCGACGGAGTCTTTCACTTCTACATTCTGAAGTAGAAGTTTGGTGTGGATGATTTAATGTATGATCGGGCATAATTTTAGAGATGATATTTTTTTTACAGATTGTTTGGATTTGGTGAAAATGGTGTCTTTTCGCTCGAATGGTCGACGTTCTTTGTATATATAATTGTTGACAAGGAAGAATTTTTTATTTTTTCATTATTTCTTATTTCTTGAAATGCAAATGTTCAAGCGGATAAGTTGACACGAAATATCCGTTCTACTCCGTATTATGTTCTGTATGTGAACAATTGTTGTTTTAATTGAGTTTTTTATAAGCTAATTCTATAATTATTGTGGAAAAAAAAAGAGAGAAGATAACATGATGATGAAGATGTGACAGCGAAATTATGTTTACGATGATTTAATATCATGAATCATGATGATGACAATTTGAGTATTAAAAAGGGAAAAAGGAAAAAAAAATGAAAACAGAAGTCGTGGGAAATTAGGCCTTGAATGGAAGGGCAGAACAAAAGCAGATAATACACACAATGGGGGAACTGTTATTTTTTCTCCATTCACACAAAATTAATATAATGGCAGTTCAAAAAAGAAAATATTATTAAAAAATAAGTGATCTGCTAGCAGATCAAAAATAAGAAGGATATTTGTACTGCACTATGAACAGTAAAAAAACTGGAGATTTGGTGTGTTTTTAAATGAACTGCTTTTCTAATAAAAAATTAATAAAACTTTATCTGCATTTAATATGCCATATCTGCTTAATTTGCTTTTGTTCTGCTGGTATATTTGAAATGCTTGATCTGCTCTGCCATATTTATTATCTCCATTCAAAGCCTTGATGTTTCACCTATGAAAACCTACCCATGAGGACACTAATATCGATACGTGCATGCATGTCAACTAGGAATCTAGCTACGAGATACTATACAATAGTCCAAACTTGATTGGATATGAATGATAAGACCAACATTATATACCCCAATTTTGCAAAAAAAAGATTTGATATAAGATTTTTCTTTTGTAAAATTGGGGTATTTTAGCTTTTTAAGATACCACCAATAATGGTGCCGTAAGATTGAGAATTTGAGATTGGTCTGTCACCTTTTTCCGTTCCTCTTCTGGTTTGCTTAATTTGGCCTAGATTTGTTTTTATTTTGTTTTCTGTATACCTCATTTCACATTGTTAGCAAATATAAATACCTTTTTATATATAAATTTATTTTTTTGTTAGTTGCAAATATAACGTTATACACCTATAGAAGAACTTTTCGTTTGTGTATTGCTCTCTAAGAATATTTATGATCAATTTTAAAATATTTTAAAAGAAAAAAAACAAAGCCATATAAACGTAAACATAATTTTTTTTTTTTTTCTTATAATCAAAGAGGTTCTGGGCCGAAACCCATATATACTCTCAGGTCCGAAACCAAAACATAATATATGGTTTCGTCCCAATTGCTATTCGAACAAGCGATGTCTAAACTTTTAATAGAGATCTTTACCAATTAATCTATTAGCACATGGTAACGTAAACATAATTTGATGTTTGAAAAAAATGAAACTCTCTCTTTTTGTCTTTATAAAAATTTATTTTGAAACTAGTATTATAATTTATTCATCGTTGTCTCTTTTGTCTCCTATCTGAATTTTCTGGTTTTGATTGGCTCAGTCTGTAAAAGCCCTTTCAGATGTGATGTCTTTTAGTAAATGTCGGGGCCTATGGAACATTGTCGCATTATTTTTATAGCAAAATCGAGAAATTTCTCAAAAACGTTGCCGTCCATTTGTAAACGATCGTGATGAGAGCAATTACACATCACAAAAACATAATATAATTTACAAATTACAAATACTCTTCGTGGGTACAAGTTTTTCTCAATTTTTGATTCATATTACTTATTAAAAAAAAACATAACGATAGAGAGAAACTTATGGATACAACGGACGACACGTGGCATCAGTCATGGTCAAAGATGTGGCACACTAATCAACAAAAGATCATGACCTATAATATTTGTTATGACTTTAAGCAAAAGTTATAGATTAGTATATTATTAATTAATTATTATGAGCAGTTCCAAAAAAATCTATCACAATTGTGAAAAAGATGTTTCAACTGGACCAGTCAAATGAAATCTAATGAGATTTACCAAACCAGCGATTGTAGAAAGTGATTGGTGAACAAATCAAAGAAGAATCCAATTTATATACATCCACAAATATAAAAACCAAATCCTTCCTACACAAGAGTCTATACTATTTATAAACAACCCTGTAAAAATGAATCCTAAAACTTTACTGTCCTAAAAGCTTTTTGTATTCACACAATGTACTATTGAGTCATTTACAGATTGAGGAAACACTTCACTTCCTTCATGGATTAGGATCTGATCAACCCGAAGTTGACGAAAGATCTCGACTTGAATACCCCGAAAAGAAACCCTGTTGGTGAGTCTTGAGGGCTCGGTTTCGCGTCTGTGTTTCCGCCTTTCACTTGAAGTATTGTCTGACCTATGACTTGTCTAATGGATTCTATGGTTTTAGCATCAACTTGGTAGCCGGAAGCGTCTCTCACATAGAATGTGTTGAGAGCTTTGTCTCCTTTTGTTTTCACTTCAGCTCTTGTTACTGTAAGACTGTTTTCACGGAAAATTCGAGTCACATCTGAGAGTAACCCGACTCTATCTGAAGTGCAAAGCTCAAGCTTCAAGCCCTGAAAACACATAGAAACAGGAACCTAAATGTTAAGCCACAAACACATCATGCTTATGATGCTTCTTCAAGCAAATAATAACCATTTTTTACCTCAGAGACTCTTCTTTGGATTGCTGCTTTTAGACATTTGATAACTCTCTGTCTTTCTGCCTCGGATTTGACAGGAGATCCATCTGTATGTCTTATGTAGTATTCCTACAAAAACACAATAATTCAGATAACAGTATAAAAGACAACTTGTGGACCAAACAAAATCAAGAGCTTAAGCAAATGTTGAGGAGATGTATATGTACCTGATATGCTTCAGGGCCTTCAGCGTCAATGCTGGCATGTGAAACCACATATTTCATATCCGTCAAAGTAAAGACGGTATCGAAAAGAAGCTTTGGTCTGTCTTTACATTTGATCATCACAATTGAGTAATCTAAATCATGCAAATTGGAGACATCCACATCTGGAATTACTCTCCCACATTTATCCTCATCATCAACATTATTCTCCCATTCGTCGTAATCTCTATCTGCAAACATCAACTGATGAAGCTTACGATCCGTGTAAGTTTCATTGAGAGCAGAAGAAACCGTGATTTTCGGTTCACGGAACCTTCTGCCACTGCATCCACCTGTAAGCACATAACCAAGAAGCTTCCTGATTTTGGATAACCTCTCTGGATCAGTGATTGCAGAGCATGTTTCTTCGTCGGTAACTTGCAAAACCGCTGCTGCTTTTGCTCTATGTGTCCATATCTCAGCATTTACCACATTACATTGGAGATCCATAAGTACAGCGCATAGCTCGGACAACAAACCGGGTCTGTCAGTTCCTGTAAGCTCAATCACAGTGAAGTCGACAGATTGTTTGACACCAATAGATGATCTCATTGATGGACTGAAGCAAGAAGACTCATCAGGGCCAAGAGACTGCAACAATCAAACACACCACAAAAGAGTTAATAACCATAACATCAAAACTAACCCATATCAACTATAACCCAAGAAAATGATCGAAGCTATTACTTACTGTACGAATATATTCAAGAACGATATCATCGGTGACTTTGTTCCCTTCTTGATCAGTAACATTGAAAACATCCATGAACCAGCCACCATCAGATGAGATATAAGCTTTCTTAATAGTGAGATTAAGCTCAGTCAAAACTTGAACAACCTCCAGAAGTATTCCATGTTTATTCGCACTATCCACCTACAGAACAAACAACAAAAGTTTTATACTCTTTTCTTCCATTCTACTCAAAACCAAAACCTAATCCGATGAAAATTCACTTACCTTAATGACAGTAACATCCTTGCAGACTTCGTTATCGATCACAACCCTAAAAATGATGATAAATCAAATGAAACTCAGCCTAAAAAAAAAACTGAAAAGACAAATCATAAAAATGGAAGAAGAAGAGAAAACAATACCTTGGTGGATTCACTCTTTTGATGAACTTTGCAATCTCATCATCCATATTATATGAATAGCTCAAACAAACATCTGAACACCAAAAACCCAAATAGATTCAATCAAAACAAAGAAAGAACCTTTTCAGAAAACGAAAAAACAGAGATGAAACCCTAGAAAGATCAAACAAGAGAAAGACCTAAAATTGAACAAAACCCAGTTCAGGAAACTAATCAACAGAGACGAATTCGGAATTTTTTTTACTAAAAATCAATCATGAAACTGAATCAAAAGGAATAAAACAGAAACAGAGACAAGTAGTAACGAACCCATTCTCGAATTCGTCTGTGATTTGTGTAAGAAGAGAAATCAAAAGGGGGAAAATTTATTGAACCCTTTCACTTTTTGCTATTGATGATCGATGTATGTCTCCGGAAGAAGGAGAGAAGACGAAGACTTTGCAACTGTAATTGCCAGAGAAGAAGAGAAAGTTTGTTAATTTATACTATACGAAGAAGAAGAAGGATTATTAAATACTATACGATCAATTACTCAGAGTGTGCTGTGTCTGACACAGATTCAGCCGACACGATTCTCCTCAAAACCTGCAAAGAAGAAAGAGTCCACACCAACAAAAAAAAAAAAAAAAAACTTATTTTTATTTTTTTGTTGTTGTTGTTGTGATGAGGAGAGGATTGAAGACGAGTCTTACTCATAAATACCCGATGCGCACGTTAGCAGCCGCCCTTCTTTTTTTTCTTCTCTCTCAGGATAATCATACCGGTTTTACCGGTTTAGGAGATTTCTCATTGTTTGGGGTAATCAAATTATATCACAGTGTATTTATCTCCGGTTTAAGAGATTTCTCTTTTTTAATAGTCAATTTGTATATCACAGTTTTTGGATTTTGTTTAAGAGATTTTTCTTTTGGCTTGAAAGTATTTATTTCTGGTGTTGGAAATTTCACTTTTTGGATAGTTAATTATATTACAGTATTTATTTTTGGTTTTAAAAAGATTTTTTTTTTTTAGGATAGTCAATTAAGTTACAGTATGTATTTCCGGTTTATGAGATTTCACTTTTTTAGATAGTCAAAAACATTACAATATTTATCTCTGGTTTTAGAGATTTCTTCTTTTTTAATAGTCAAATTTACAGTATTTATTTCCGGTTTAAGAGATTCATTTACATTACTATATTATCTCCGGTTTAGGAGTTTCTTTTCTTTTAAAATGGTAAGAGATTATAGACAGTATTAATTTATCTCCGGATTAGGAGATTCTTTATTATTAGTTTGGTTGAATATTATTAATATTGCAGAGAATCTTTGGGTTATTAGAAACAAATTGATAAAGTTTTGACTCAATACATACATATTAATGGAGAGATATTGGAAATATAAATGACAATTAACCTTTTTGTGTTGGAGTATATATATACATGAAAATTGTACAAAATACACCACTTCACATGACAAAAATGCAATTATTAAGAATAAAGCTTTGAACTCTTAATTTTTTTTCCATAATGTATATATAGATAAGTATATACATAGTAGTGTCAAGCCAAACCAACTTGGCAATACCCAAATTAACAAATATTTTTTGAAAATTTATAGTAACACTAATCCAAAACCCATTAGATTCAATCAAAAGATTGAGAAAAGTTCATAAATCTGAAGATGCTAGTATTGAATTTTTTTATGATTTTGGTGGTAGTTTTCGAAAAAATATTAATATATTTGATTGCGTTGTAATTCAAAAATCAATATAATATATTTAGAAAAATTATTTTAAATATCATAACAAAAAACTATACATTACCAAAAATAAAGAAAATATAACACAAAACTGTAAGATTTCAAGTCAATTGGATTTTTCTGTAAGTCTTTTTCCGAACTTTCTTGAATTAGCCGAATATATATGTCATGCATTAATACACTCCAAAGAATTTGGAAGTTAAGAATGTAAAGAACATGAACACTTACTTATGCACTTGACAAGGACCAGAATCTTAGGAAAAATGTTTCACATGTCACGCTAAAAAAAAAAAAAAATCCCATAAATTTTGGTGAAATTTTCAATAATTCATCCTTACCAAGGTGAGATTAACAGAATCATGCACACCGCACAAAAGAAAAAAAAACGTTGACATGCTTTGGTACAAACATAATTTTAAAGACAACAATTAACATTAAAAAAAAATCTCTGGTTGAGTTTGATTAGTGATTATATTCTCTTAAAAACAATAATAATGAAAATATAAAGAAAAGAATAAAGCATGCGGCTTCGAAGGTCAAATGTTTTGGGGGCAAATAGAAGAAAATGCGTATAAGGATGGACCATGCCGGCCGCATGTGCCTCTTCATTGCTCATTATCTCTTCTTCTTTCTACAAATTATTATACTATGCTATGATCTTTTATATGAGAATAAAATACTTTTATTATAATATAGAACAAACCTTTTGAAAAAGAATCAAATAGAACAACTTGGAAGTGGTTAGCCTTTTCCATGAGAGTCCATATAGAAACTTGATTTACATAACGGAATAGTGGTATTTTAGAAAATGTATCTTCTTAAAATAGACTAAACCTAAAAAGGCAATCGAAGAATGTGTATATCGTTATTATGGATGTGGCGAAATGTAAAAAAGAATTAAAATTGAAGAACAAAACTGTGTTGGTTACAATTCTAATTCAACCCTAATTAATCTGATTAGGCTCGAACCTTAATTTAAAAACATAAGTTGGAAACCTAGGTGTCACCCCCATGCTACTGCAAGTAATGTAGATCAGATCCAAAACATGTTAACAAATATCATATATTATATTTATTTAATTAGTTGAATATATAAATCCCAAATTTTACAACAGCAAAAAAAATGAGAAATATTGTTGGTTCGATTATTTTTTAATATGACATTGTGGACAAAATTGGATCGAATAACTAACCGCTAATTATATACTAAAACAGTTTAGTTATATGATCACATTGATAAAAGTATTAAACATAGTAATGTTTTTCTATATTGCCTCAATATATATGATTATATATATGTTTAGGGCTCCAAAATATGAAAATATGTAACTTAGTTACCAACACATTAATCTATACATCAGTTTTTGGAGGCAATATGGCTTCTTTAGCATCCGTTGCTTTATCTCCAACGTACTTGGCCGTTTTATTTTTCATATCAGTCGCTGAGTCTTTCACGTCGCCAGCTTTTTCAACGATGAAGTCTTTGGCGTTCTCCGTCATTGAAGCAGCTTCTTCCTTAGTCTCTCTGCCTTTATCCGTCACAAAGTCAGAAGCTCTCTTTGCATTTTCAGCCACTGAGTCCATCGCTTCACCAGCTTTCCCAAAAATGTAGTCCTTTGCTCTCTCCATATGGTTTTGAAGCTCTTGTCCCTTTTGAGCAGACACTTGTCCCACTTCATTTCCGGTCTCCTTCACATATTCCGAAGCTTTCTGTCTATTATTTGTGTGTGTGTGTGTGTGAGAGAGACGACAAATTACTCAAAATTATTACAGTATATAAACAAAATTATATATATAAACAAATGAGAATTTACATATATTAGTGCTCAATATTCACATATTCCTCCATGTATCAAAACTGCTTGTAAAGTTTGTTTTCTTTTTGGTGTTGTGTGAGCATATATGTTCAAACAAGATTTAAAACTAACCATTACTAATAGTATTAGTAATGTATGTTCCTGATTCAGTTTCATGCTTTTCTAAAGCATTCGATATATACCCTTAATTACCCTTTTATTTTCTTATGAATTTATAAGATTTGGAATTTATTGTTATAGGTAAAAAATCAGAACTAAGTTTTATATATAACAATTTATTCTTTTCATTTGGGTATTAATGTATATTTTATTATTAATAATTTTTGAACAACCAATGTATATTTATTTATATGTGTGTTGTTTTGTACTCCAAATATCTAATATATATATGTCGATCTCTCAAGTATGTCCAAACAAATGCAAAGACTTACGATGCATTGTCAAGCCATTTGGGATCGTTATTGGAGCTGCCAGAAGCTTTCACGGCTGTGGAGATCCACGACTTCTTGCGCTGAGGTGCAGTGATCACGTTCTTCCGGCCAGCTCTCATAGCTCCACCGCCAACGCTGCCTCCTCTCTTGCCTCTGCTGATCAAGAACGAAGAAGATCCCAACCCACTAAGCGCAGCTCTGGAGATCGACATATCTCTATATCCCTAATTTGTGTGTTTTTGAGAGCAAACAGAAACGAGAGAGTTTAGTAATTTGTTAAGAGGAACAAATTAGTGAGTCTTCTTTATAAAGAACGTCATCTATAATGGCTGAGAGGCTGACGTGAATTAGTTTCCAACCAATGACGTTCCTTTAATTTGTTACATCTTAACTCGCCACGTGTACTCACTTTTAGTAGTGAATTAACAGGCATCCCAATATGGCCTAACTTGCAAAATGTTAATCCGTATCGTAACTTGATATTTCATTGACTAATTAAAATGACAAAAATATTAGTACTATTCACATAATACATTTTTGTTGACTAAAGGAAAATATTGGAGTTGACCATAATTTTTTTATCAATCAAGTGGACATCATTAAAACACTCAAATTGAGTGGTTGAGTTTGAATATTTAATACAAAATCTCAAAAATTCTAATGAAATTTAATCTGATAGAATAAAGAAAGGATTACGAAGGAGATTGTGTTTTTTTAGAATACGTAAAAAAAAGAGGGACATGTCCATGCGATTCGCATGTTACTTCTATAATACCTTCTTCTATAGAATATATAAAATACTCAAAACATAATAAAAAGAAGACGAAAATAAAGAAAATGGTACTGTTCGCATGTTTTAGGATATATGCAATTACGTTGAAAGAGAAGTTCGTAGAAGGAGGAGACATGCTGGTCGCATGTTTAAGTATGGTTAGCCATTAATATATTAAAATCCATACACGTACGTAATTACTGATGATTTCACTTTTCCTTACCACCATCTTTTGGGGGTCACTGATTTAGAGTTTCGCTGATTTTGAGAGAGACCACTCTTGTGGACTTCTATAAGTTATCTTTTTCAATCTTATCAGTGTGTGTATTGCATGATAATATCAATATGGATCGTGCCATGGTGGACGCAAGTGATAATAATGTGTTACATTTTCTCCAAGAAGATAGAATAATATTTTAGCGTAACGAATGAAGCAACATAAGCAAGAAATTTGTAATTTGGCCCACCATTTGTTTCTATTTTCCCTATATTAATTTTCAGATAAACATCAAATCTCAACAACTTTTGAACCCACCGAGCACTAAACAATACACAATTCATAATTCTTCTCCGGATATGGGTGTCGACCAAATTTGACCAAACTCTTTTTTGATTAAGATGTATATCAAGAACCGTACAACTAAATACTAGTATTAAAATTGTAAATTCTATGCTTTTTATAGATTACCAGAAATATTTAGGTTTAGCGTGCGATATAAATTAACTTTTTAAAGAATAGTCAAGAAAAATTAGTATTTGATTAGTAAGAGTAACAACTAATTTAAGAAAGCCGCCGTGACCCGATGGTCTAATCCTATAATTGGATTAGGGAGTACGTGAAAGTGACTTTAGGATCTTTATAGATACTCATCTTGTTCGATCCACATCGGCTTTATGTCCACTAAATCCATAAAGTTCAGATCATTGGCAATTTCTATTTGGCTAGGAATTTGGATAGTCAACACAATTTCCAATACAAAATTCTTTAGCTTCTATCTTCGTATAGAACAAAGAGCATGTTTCCTCGCTATGTAATCGTGTAACTGATAGATATGATAGAAAGAAAACAGAATAAATTGTAAAGGGTAAGAAAGATTCATTATACTAGAATAGTTGCTTGTACATGGATCTTTACATTTGTTTTTAGTATTATTTATTCTTGGTTTTGTACACGAGTGAACTAAATTAGAGATAGAGGAGCATGTTAAAGAGATAAATAACTAAAGATCTTAATCTTTCAAGTAAACCTTTGATGTTCGATCTAAATTTCAAGAGTTCTGTTCACAAAAATAAAAGATATTAAAATAACATGTGTAATAATCACACTCAAAGCAAACTTTGTCGCCATTAATTTCATATTGCATGCTCTATATTTACGTATCAAAAGTGTGATTCCTTTCTACAAATAACTTTGTTAGAATGTTTAAAAGCATATAGTTGAACTGTCAATATCCAAACCACGCACTAATTATATTGTTCACCATCTTTAATTATTCACATTAACGTATTTATAAAGTTAATTACAGTATATGATGGATATATAATCCACGAATCTTCTTCTCTAGCCATGGCCCCATAAAATCAGCCGAACATGTTTTCCACGAATGTTCATAAAGTATAAGACCAAACATTTCTTTAGCTTTAACTTTACGTAACTTACAAAATTCAAAATGTTCTAATAGCCACGCCGGAGATAATATTGTCGTTGCTAAAGGTTCTTTACTAACAATCTTTTAAAAAACCAATATGTTATGCACAAAAGCGAATAGAACAAGTTATCAGGTCCATTAAAAGCCCACAAGTAAGCCTATAATAAAAAAATATTTCGTTTTATTGTTCTTGAAATTAAGTTAAGAGTACATAAAATGATTTAAACAAAACCAAATCAACAATCATACAAGAAGAGAAGCATGAAGTTCCAAAGCCAAGAACATACATAACATAACCTTACTGAAATATTAAACCGGAACCTCGTAGTTTACATTCAACAATCTCATCAACGGTTTTGGCCATATGAGGAGTAAGATGATTCTTCCAGTCACCAACTTCACCTTTCCTAAAGAATAACTGAGAATCTACACCAATTCTTGTCGTCCCATTTTGATTAACTTCCAAATTGCTTAAGTTCCGTAAACTACACAGCTTCAAGATCTCGTCCACCGATCCACTTTGTTCTTCTTCCTTGGTGAATGGACAATTCAAGAACTCGGCGAGTCTCTTGACTTGAACACGAGGCTCCTCAAGCATCTCCTCATACCTCATAAAAAGAACATTCTCCTTATCTTCTAGGCTCCCTTTCCAATAGCTCAATACATGTTCCCAGTAAGGTCCATATACGACATATCCTTTGCAATATCCATCGAACATGAGCTCAAAAGTGGACTGATCCAACTTGGTGCGATGTAACTTGTTTCTATAATGCCAACCAGAAACAAAGGTATCTTTGATACCTCTACACACATATACGATTTTGCAAGGTCGAGAAGCCTTTTTGGTGGCCTCACGCAATGCTTGTAAGTGTATGTGTGTAGAAAATATCATAGGGGAAGGAAACTTTGCGAGATCTGGAGCTTTGCTATCAGCGTATAACTCAACCTCAAGAAATGGGACAAGATCATGAGGGTTTTGTGAGAGCAAAGGATGGATTTGGGGGTTTTCACGGTACTCATCTCTATGTACAACAGCGAAAACCAGGGATTTGAGCCAAGTGGTTCCACCTTTGGGCAAAGAAGCCATGATTATATCGGTATCTCGTGGCTTGAAATGTTTTTGGACGTCAAGAACGGCTTGGAGTAAGTTTGGATAGTACCAACAACCTTTGTAGTTGTGGATATCAACACCCACGAAATCTTTCCCTGAAGGTAGAGAAGAGATCAAGTTCTTGGTTTCTTGGCTAACGTGGTCGTCTTTCATGTAGTTTGGAAGGTGAACAGGCTCCATTACGATACTTTTTTTTCTCTATGTGAACACAAAGAGATGAGAGTGAAAATAGGTGGAGAACTAAAAGAGTCTTTACTTTATTTGGTGCTTTGAATAGCTCGGCCTTACAAGTTTACATATATGTGTATATTTCAAGACATGGGTAGATCCTAAGCCACACATATTTCCTACATCAAGATAAGAATCTTATCTTTAACAGACTTGTGGTGGAAAGGTAAAAAAAAAAGTGACCCTTACTTTGTCTTTTCATCAACTATGTCATTTTGGAAATTATTTTACGTTTAGGTTTTGTAGCTGACGAGTGTACCTTTAAGCGCATGTGCCGTGTCCTAATCCGAATCTAAAAGTGATAGCGTGCGACAACAAAAAAAAAAAAAAGGATTAAAGATTATTATATTGTATATGAATACATGATTCATTTTATTCATACAAGAACAACAACAAACACATACAACAGAAATTATTAAAAGAAAACTCACAAGATTAAAGAAAACATTACACAACAAGTTTCAAAGATTGACTCAAGAATAAAATTTCAGACCAGAACCATGGAACTTCTCTTCAATGGTTCGATCAATTTCCTCTGCCAAGGACTCACTCAGAGTATCTCTCCATCCTCCAGTTTCTCCTTTTCTAAAGAAAGATTTAGTCTCTATTCCATTTGGCAATTTCCCTGCTCTGTTAACTTCCAAATTACTTAAACTCTCAAAACTACACAACTTCACAATCTCTCTCACTTCTTCTTCTTCAATAAAACCACATCCCAAGAACTCAGCGATTTGCTTCATCTCAGCTCCTGTCTGCTTCTTGAGCTCCTCGTATGTAACAAACAAGACCTTATTAGGATTCTCGCGGCTGGCGTACCAGTACTCCAATATATGTTCCCAAAAAGGTCCACCTATAAACTTCCCTTCACAAAACGCTTCAACCGCCTTTTCGATAGGATAATCTGCGGTTTCCTCAGGAGCTAGCTTTTTCCCAAAATGCCATAAGGACACAAACATGTCTTTAGGGTTCCTACAACAATACACAATCTTACAAGACGAGCTCTTAATGGATTCTGGCAGGGACAAATACGGTATGTGCGTGTTCATCAGTCTTGGAGTAGGCAACCCCGAGAAATCGAAATCTGGAGATTCATAGTAAACTCCTTCCAAGAAGGGCACAAGAAGGTGTGGATTGGTAACCAAAAGAGGATGGTTACCTAAAGAAGGAACTGGAAACTTGTGTCTGTGAAGGAGAGCAAAGACAAGAGCTTTTAACCAAGTGGTTCCTGATTTAGGATTAGTGACGAGGATAATGTCGGAATCTTTGGCTTCAAAGCGTTTTTGACAGATCAAGATTCCTTGTAAGAGAGCTTGTGTGTGCCAACGTCCTTGGAATTGATACATTTCACTCACCAACCAACCTTTCTCTTTTGGAAGAGAAGAGATCATATCTCTTGTTTCTTGTGTCAGCAGTTCATCTCTCAGGTAATCAGGAACTGATGATGATGACGACATTGTTAAGAGTTATTGATCAATCTTGAGAAAATGTTGTTTAATTTAAAGTACGCGATGTTTTGCTTAAGCTCTATTGCATAGGTTAATGCTTGCGTGCTTTTATACATGTATGATAAGTTTGCTCTACAAGCAAATAGGACAATACTATAAATTTCCAAAGATAGTATTTTGAGTGGAGTGGTCAACAACACATCATTTACTTGAAGAGCACGTAGAATAAAATATCCAAAGAGAACTAATTAAAAAGAAAACGAAAGAAGAAGAATCACGACTCTAATATAATCTTGAAAACAACATGACATGACTTGCAAGTTGCATGCAACTCGTGATTTCAAAATATTGATATTTTTGTATTCACAATTTCAAAATTTTCAATCTTTAAAAACTGTTAAGGAAAACCATAGGTATTAAATATAACACTTTATTTTGGATTAATTTGTTACTTTTTTGGATATATCTATAAACTTGTTTTGTAGATGATCGAGTTCATTCATATGGACCCTATTAGGAATATCCTTGTTTTAAAAATTGCTAGGCGTTAGTCGGGCGGCCAAGGTGTGTCTAGCACGTAGCAAGAAAATCGGTGATTAAACAAGGATTAATCGGAGACTAGTTTTAGAGTTATTTTATTAAATAAATAAAAACAATAATTATATGGTGTTAATTATATGTATAGTTCGACTTCTAGTAATAAAAAAACACAAAACTATAATATTGGTTCCAAACTGTAGTAAATATATCAAAATCATAATTTTAAAGCCAAATTTATGTTTTCATTAAAATTTTGAATATAAATTATTGTAAAACATCACAAATTCTCAATATAAATGTTTAATAACCACAAAAAGTTAGACAGGAATTAATCATTAATCAAAGCGGATAGGGTGGACAGAACGATTACACAAGGAGTAATCGGACGTAGGCGGGGATTTTTTAAACCGGAGGAATATGTATTGAGCTATTTGAAAAAAAAAGCTTAGAAGATAGAATGTTGTTTTTTTCCTTCTTAAGTGTATTAAGAAACCGGTTTATAAGTTTTTACATATTTTAGTAAAAATTACATAATTTGTTATTGGTCTAAGATAACTTGAAAATTTATCATTAAAGGTAAAAATGTAAATTAAATCTTTCTCCAATAAAATCTTTTAAATAATTATTAGTTTCCACCAAAAAAAAATCAAATATTGTGTAAACTTATAAAATAATGGGCGTAGATTCTAAGGCCTCCTTCAAGGAAGGTGAAGTTAGTGATCGGAAGAATCATATAGTAAACTATGAACTAAGAAGGTTCCGGTTTGAGAAGTCAATAAGTTGGTTATTCAACCTTTTTCAATCTTGATTTCAATGAGTTGGCCTTGCTGATCACTTTCTTGATAAACAATGTGATTATATCAACTTTTGCTTATAATATCATCGTCGTAAACTTATAATAACATTTTATTTTCCACATATAAATTTATGAAAATATAAAGTAACACTTTACAAGATTGCCATGTGCCCGTGTCATAAACTCGAATCTTATTATTCAAAAACACACACACAATTCATTTTATTCATACAAAAAACAACAAAAAAACAAATTTGACACCAAACAACAAAATACTCACAACACCAAAGAAGAACAAGTTCCAAAGATTGGTTCAAGAAGAAAATTTCAGACCAGAATCTTGAAACTTGTCTTCAATGGTTCTATCAATTTCTGCAGCCAAGGACTCACTCAACGTATCTCTCCATCCTCCAATCTCTCCTTTTCTAAAGAAAGATTTAGTCTCTATTCCATTTGGTAGTTTCCCTTCTCTGTTAACTTCCAAATTACTTAAACTCTCAAAGCTACACAACTTCACAATCTCCTCCACTTGTCCTTCTTCAATAAAGCCACATCCCAAGAACTCAGCGATTCGCTTGATCTCAACTCCCGTCTGCTTCTTAAGGTCCTCGTATGTAACAAACATGACCTTATCCGGATTCTCTCGGCTTGCGTACCAATACTCCAATATATGATCCCAAAAGGGTCCACCTATAAACTTCCCTTCACAAAACGCCTCAACCGCTTTTTCGATAGGATAATCAGCGGTTTCCTTAGGAGCTAGCTTCTTGCCAAAGTGCCATAAGGACACAAACATGTCCTTAGGGTTCCTACAACAATACACAATCTTACAAGAAGAGCTCTTAACCGATTCGGGGAGTGAAGGATACGGTATGTGCGTGTTCATCAGTCTTGGAGTAGGCAACCCCAAGAAATCGAAATCTGGAGATTCATAGTAAACTCCTTCCAAGAAGGGCACAAGAAGGTGTGGATTGGTAACCAAAAGAGGATGGTTACCAGAAGAAGGAACTGGGAACTTGTGTCGGTTAAGGAGAGCAAAGACAAGAGCTTTTAACCAAGTGGTACCTGATTTAGGATTAGTGACGAGGATAATGTCGGAATCTTTGGCTTCAAAGCGTTTTTGGCAGAGCAAGAGTCCTTGTAAGATAGCTTGTGTGTACCAATATCCTTGGAATTGACACACCTCACTCACTAACCAACCTTTCACTTTTGGAAGAGAAGAGATCAGATCTATTGTTTCTTGTGTCAGGAGTTCATCTCTCAAGTAATCAACTGATGTTGATGACATTGTTAAGAGATCGATTAATCTTGAGAAAAATGTTGGTGCAAGTATCAAGTATGATATGATCTTATTGCAACTATGAGGGTAAATGCTTGTGTGGTTTTATAATGCTTCAAATTTCTCCAAATATAATATTTTGGGTGGAGTGGATTGGATTGATCAACACTCAACATATCATATACTTGGAGAGCAAGTACAATAAGAAAACAAAACAAAATGAAAGAAGGAGAATCACGACTCTAGCCTATGATAACAAATATAAAAAATACAAAAATCTATTTTTATAATGTCTTACATTTATATTAACTTGAATAAAAATGTACACAGTTTTTTTTTTTTTTTTTTTTTTGTTGACAGACCAGTTTGGACGGTTGGTCAATCACAATAAGTCAACAACCTTATTTGTATAGATGAAGACTAAACCACCTAAAGACATAAATGGAGAAATGAGTTCAACTAAAGCAGATTCGTAGCAAAAGAATCTAAACTTAGAATTAGTTAGTTTTCTGCTCAGTGGTTTTATCAATTTCTAGGAGAGGGAAACTTTGTGAGAACTCTGGAGTTTGGCTATCAGCGTATAACGCTCAATAGAGATGTGAGTATGTGACAATATCATGAGGGGTTTGTGAGAGCAAAGGATAAATATGGGAAGGTTTTCACGGTATTTTATCTCTCTATATATGTACAACAGAGAACACTAGGGATATTTGAGCCAAGTGCTTCCACCTTTTGGGCAAACAAGCCATGATTATATCGATATCTCGTGGCTTGAAATGTTTTTGGACGACAAGAACGGCTTGGAGAACTTTTGGACAGTACCAAAAACCTTTGTAGTTGTAGAGACCGTGGTAGCCCATGAAATCTTTGTCTCAAGATAGAGAAGAGATCAAGTTTTTTGGTTTGGTTTCACTTCGGATATTTAGGGACTAGTTTGATCCATCATAATAAGTCAACAACCTTATTTGCATTGATGAATATTAAACCAACTAAAGTCTAAATCATACATAAATTGAGAAGAAAAAACAAGAAAGACTCAATAAATTGAGAAATGACTTCAACTAAAGCAGATTCTTAGCAAAAGAATCTAAAATCAGAACCAATTAGCTTCTGCTCAGTGGTTTTATCAATTTCCTCTGCTAATGAAGGAGTTAAAGTATCAGTCCATCCACCAATCTCCCCTTTCCTAAAAAATGCCTTAGTCTCCATTCCATTCACTAACTTGCCCTTCTCATTAACCTTCAATTTACTCAGATTCTCAAGGCTACACAGCTTTATGATATCTTCTAAAACTCCCTTCTCTATCTCTTCCTCTGTCAAAGAGCATCCCAAGAACTCAGCGATCCGCAACACCCAATCCTTAGGTTGTTCCCTCATCTCTTCGTACATAACAAACATAACCTTTTCCGGGTTTTCTCGGCTCTCTTTCCAGTACTCTAATGCATGATCCCAAAAGGGTCCATAAACACTCGACCCTCTGCAAAACCCACTCACCATTTCCTCCATTGTGCATCCAACCATCTCTTCAAGAACCAAACTTTTCACGAAATGCCAAAGCGAGACAAATGCGTCCTTCGGGTTCCTGCAGCAATACACAACTTTACAAGAAGAGTCCTTAACGGACTCAGGGAGTGACACCAGAGGGATGTGTGTGGAGAAGATACTCGGAGAAGCATCTTGATTGTGAAACTGGAATCCTTCGATAAAAGGCACGAGAGTATGCGGGTTGTTATCGAGAAGAGGATGTGATTCTTGAGGGTTTTGGAACTCATGTCTGTGAATCAGAGCAAAGACAAGAGCTTTCAACCAAGTTGTACCTGACTTAGGACTGCTTACGAGGATGATGTCTGAATCTTTGGCCTGAAAATGCTTCTGGCTGTATAGAACACCTTCTAAGATATTTGGTGGGTACCAAAAGCCTTGGTATTGATAGAGATACTCTGCAAAGAAGCCTTTGTCTTTAGGAAGACAAGACAGCAACTCCTCACATTCATGGCTAAATTTAGTGTCTGCCAATAACTTTGAAAGAGTGTTTTTGGATGTTGTCATTTTAGAGACCGTTGCTTTCACAATATGCTACAAAGCTCTATTTATAACTAGATTACGACTATTTTAATGGAAACCTCTTAAGACATATTTTCTTCCAAAAGAATTATTTATGGTTTCTAAATAAACTATTAAAAGGGAAGTATTAAAAAAAAAAATCCTATAGTATTAAATGGGAAGTACTAATAGGAGAATAATATCCAAAAAAAATCATATACTATTAAGAGGAAGTACTAATAGAAGAATATCTAAAAAAAAATCATATTTACATGAAATGTCATTACTATAGAGGGTATATATCCAAACATATCTAAATACAGCAAAATGGATTTTACATACTTGGATCTTGAATAAGATACTCTGGAATTTTTTCATTGGTTAGGATATTTTCCTTGAAAAAAGAGAATTTTATGCCATAACTGTATTTTATATTTAGAAGCTAATTTGTACACTCCTATTATATAGGAATTTAAAATTTTTCTCATTTTTCAATTATAATCATTTTATGTCATGATTCAATTATATTTATTTAATTATGCTTCTAATTTTTAATTTTTTTTTTTTTATGATTCTTTTTAAAATACACGGATCTTTGCGGGATGGTTCGTCATAACATACATTGTGAGTATGTAATTTTTTTAATATACGTTCTTTTATTTGTTTATTTAAATATTTTAATTCATTTTCGAATACACACTTTTCCCAAAAAATTGAAACCAAATATATATATTTCAAAATAATAATTGTTGATACTAAAAAAATTCATATGATAAAACACGTTAAAAATATAATAAACTCGAAAACATTCCCCCACTGCTGTAGCGCAGTCCGAACCTAGTTTCCAATAACATGGCCAACACAATTTTACGGTAATTAAAACTAAGAAATATACAAAGAGTTCGCAAAAGAAATTATGAATTTAATATTACACACAACAATTGAAATTAATTATGCAACTTCTCCATTATATCCTTATTTAGTGTCTTTCCTTACTAAGCACAAGCAAACAACAAGAACCAAAATGTACTTTCAAGATAGGATTACCAAAGATCTAGAAAAGGGTAAGAAAGGCCAAACTTATTTACTTGAATGATAAAGTAATTGCTAGATTCATTAGACTTTAGCTCCAAATGTAATAAGCTTCCATTTAACAACAAAGAAAGTTCTACATCTTGTCCTAACCATTCATTTTTCAAAGTTTTACAGCAGAGAGATTTAAAGTTCCTCAAAACCAACAAATGGCTACATTCTCAGAAGATAGTCCATACTAAAAACGATCCTACTTGTCGCAAACATACCAACTTTAACAAGAACCTAGAAATGTGTCCGAGAGACGAGAACAACCACTCACTTTTTATTATTCGACATCCGCAGCTCCCAATAAGTACGATGTAGGCGCATCATCTCCAAGCAGCGGAATATACTCAGATCCTCTCACGTGAACGCTAAAGCAAGCTAATAAACAAACAAGAAAAGAATTACAATAACAATATTGATCATTGGTATCTATAAGTACCTAGGATATGAAACTTGTGCATACCATTCTCGATTTTGATCACACTTTGAAGCATCACTTCCATCTTGGATTTCATGTCGTAACTGTCATCCATCTTTGGCACAACTAGCATAAGTTCCCTATGAATCTGTCGAACAAACTGGCAAATCCGCTGCGCGAATTCGATTTCACCATCTGATATTCGACCAATAGCCATTCGCATTAGCTCTCCAGTCAGATCGGCAAGCTGTACATGTGTGCAAGTGAATATTAATAATCAAACACAGCTTAGAAATCCAAACTATAAAGAGACTTTATTTTAAAGTGGCCACAAATCAAGAGAGCCAAAATACCCCAAGAATATAGTCGAGGATATTGATCTGCAACGGTTCTAATGAAGGGTCACTAAGCGGTACAAGCGTTGCGTTAATGTCATCGAGAGTGCATAGTGTCCCAGACAAGCAGAACTTATAAAACGTAGCAGCTTCAACATATTCCTGCACCTGTAAATTACCGAAAACCACATACATATCAGTCAAAATCGTTAGCCAAAATGGTTTCCAACAGAAAACTAATCAATATTTCACAGACCCCTGGGGAATAAGCTCGTCTCAGCTTCCAAAAATCAGTCCCTTGAAGTTCTCTCATTAGCCGGGCAAAATGTTGATCCCTCACAGCTTCTAAATCTTTCCCTGCTTTCTCCAAAACTTCCTCTTTGTTATCTTTGCTGAGTCTGCCGCATAACATAACATTGTAAACCAAACAAACAAACAGAATCTTTGATGAACATAAACAAAAACAACAGAGGCTTTGATGTTTACCTGTGAACCTGAAAGATAACTTTTTTACTGTTCATTGTGATATCACGACTTGCCTTCACCACTCTTTCTCGCTTCTCATTCTACAAAGATAAAGCACGCTCCTTTATAATCAATTTCATCATAATCAAGGACTCAAGTTTCAAATTCACTACAGGACGACACACAAAACCCACCCTCGACTCAAACTAACAGAAGAATCAAAGTTGCAATAAGAAAGATCATCTCTTTCATTGTCTACCTAACAAATCTTCCAAAAACGACTCAATCCCATGATGCAAGTTTAAACCTTTTTCATCATAGTCAAAGACTCAAGTTTCAAATTCACTACAAGGCAATACACAAAACCCACCCTCGACTAGAAAAAAACAGAAGAATCGATGTTGGAATTAGAAAGATCATTTCTTTGATTGTCTACCCTAACAAATCTTCCTTAAAGACTCAATCACATAATGCAAAGTTTCGACCTTTTTTAACAACACAAACCAGAGAACATCGAGATTTGTCAGGAAACTTTGACAAAGAGGGATAACAAAACACTTACGAAGTTATTGAGATAATCAGCGTAAGTAGAGAAAGCATCTTTCATGGAGGATTCAGCAGTCATCGTCCTAGCTTTCTTAACCAATTGTTCAGCACCAGTCTCTGCAACTACACAAAAAAAATTCCCAAAACCCTCGTTACGAATCTACTCAAAATCATGAATAAATGCAGGAGTATGTGTGTGTGTATACATACTTTGATGGAGTCGCTGAGGTTTTAATTTGGGAGCCATTAGCATAAAGGCTACTCTTTGGAACACCGATGAACAACTCAACATCTGTCTGCTTACTCCAACGCTCGCAATCGAAGTCGAAGAGGTTTATTCGTGATACTGTATTCTATAATATATAATTTAAATACGACAGAGTAGAAATCAGGGTGCTGTGGTGTAGTGGTTATCACGTTTGCCTTACACGCAAAAGGTCTCCAGTTCGATCCTGGGCAGCACCATCTTTTTAAATGCTTAATCAATGTTATATTATATGTATATAATTTTTTTTTTTCACTTTTCACTGTGATTTTTAGCTTAACCAGGTAGTTTTAGAATCTAAGAATCTAAATTAGTTTATGCACAAAAGGTGTTCAATGATTTGCATGAATCAATTTGAAATAAGCAACACTTTCGAACCAAAAAAATAATAATGTTAGAAAGTATTTTGGACAAATTGGATTTTAGTTGAATGCTAGTTTGATTACATAACAAATTGGATTTGATTATATATATTATAGTAATGTTATATAATAAATATCTAGACATAAGTTTTACACATTTGATAAATTTCTTATTGTTGTTTATGTTCTTATTTAAGTTCCTAATTGTTATTTGCTGTTTTTGCTTATTCTCTTATGTTTTTTATAATATGTTTTTGTTTGTAGTTTGTAGAGTTATGTATAATGATAAAAAAAAAAAGTGTTATATATTTGGATATTGTATGGCGGGAATGACTTTTGACCAATTTATATAAATAAGAGGATAAGGCTTGTGAAAGATAAAGTTAAAATGGAAGAATACCTATCAATAAGTTTTAATTTGGGAAAAGATAAAGTTAAAAACTTATCGAGTGCTAAGACTATCTTTATTGCATAATTATTATGAGTGTATTAATATAAAACTAATCACTATTATATTATGGATGTCTTTGAAGTTTGAAACAAAAACAAACTCAATCAAAGTAAAGATTTTGAGTGAATTTCTTTATATATAGTTGTTGACAAAAGAAAAAGTAAAAACACTTTAAACCGATGTCTCACATTCTCCAATTTTTTTTTATTATATTATTATTACTATGTCACTTTTAATTATATGTTAATAGAGATGTTCTAAGTGTTTTATAGAGAATTTAAATGGGTGTATGATTTTAGAAAGTAAGATCTGAGAGAATAGAAAATTGTTCAATAAAAAATCAATTGTAAACATATTTTTTATTAATCAAAAAAGTGTTTAGAGAAACCTTGTTTTAATATTCTGATTTAGATCATCTTTGAGTAAATTTTGCACAAAGACAATTTTGGACTTTTAATTACGTGAAAAGTAAATTATCGTACAAGTAATTAGTTTTATAAAGCTGAAACTATAAGAGCATGTACAATGGTGATTTTATGAGTGTTTTAACATAAGTTTTATAATATAATAATTAAGTTTAAATGAAATATTTGGTCTAATAATAAAAAATCATGTCTAATTTAAAACCCATTTGTGAGTGTCTAAAAAATAAATTTTACATAAAACATTATAATTAATTATTTTAGACACTATTAAGAGTGCCATTGATCATGGTCTAAATAGGAACTAATCGAACTGTGAGTGATAGCTTAGCTTGTTGACCAAACAAAATAAAATCCCTTATAAACACCATTCCAAAAGTTAAAAGCTTAAAAGTTTTCAATTCATGATTTTGAAAATAAGCGGCCGAAACGTTATACGCTTCCTCCACACACACAACAACAGATTCCAAACAAACGCAACTCAATCGCTTCTAAACGCCAATTTTCGCGTTACATTTTAATTTAAAACATGGTGACATTGATCGTAGCCACCACCTCCGATCCAGCGTCGATCAATCCTGCGGCGGCGCTTCTCGCCATGCCCGGTTGGACCACCGGACCAACCTTGCCGCCGGTAAAGTTTTGATCTTTCTCCGCCGGTAAAGTTTCAACCTTTATCTCCTCTGATTCTGTTCTTCTCGAAAATTTCAGGGCATTAAGAGTTTCACAAACAAGCAAACGAGAGTGATTCAACACGATGGGTCTATAGTTAAAGAAGACGATCTCGATTTACGTTGGGAAGAAGCTACAGGTGAAGTTATTGATGAAGTCATCTTCCTCAGCCGTCACACCGCCGTCTCGAATCGTCCTGCTCTAACTGTTCATCCGATTGGTATGTAAAAATCCAAACTTTCTAATTGGGTTTTGTTTTTGTATTATGATTCTTCTGTATTCTGTAAGGATGTTTTGGTTGACAAGTGTAGGAGTGCTTCATCTAAAGGATGGGGAATCGCCTCCGCAAGGTGGAAAGCCGGGGTGGGCGGCGTTGCCAAACCCTAGAATTGGTCCATGGTTTCGTCTTTTGAAGAAAATGGCTGAAGCTCATGGTTTAGTTCCTGAGTTTGAGGTGTTTGTTGTTTTGTCTTCCTCATGAATTTGATTATGATTGAACTTTGGTTTGGTTTGAGAATGCAAATTGCTTTGTGTTGATGTAGATTACATTGGAAGCCACTCATCATGGACCAATAACTAACAAGCCAACGATGTTTTTGGAGATTGGTGAGAGCTTTCTGCTTTGTTCCTTTGTCTAAATTGAAAAGCTCTATGCTTTCTTGAAATAGCCATAGCCATTTTCGTGTGTCTGAATATGGAGGATTTGTTATTACATTTTGCCATTTTGAATGTATTATACTTGGTTTGATTTCTGAGATTGATTCACGCAATAACACGCGGTTGTTGAGAATTCGAGGCTCTAATGAACCATTGCTTATTGTGTATATGTAGGAAGTACAGAGGAATACTGGAAGAGACAAGATGCCGCTCAAGTCATGGCTCTTGTAAGTGTAAAAATTTCATTACAATAAGGTCGTTGTTCTTGTTTCTTGTTCATGTGGATTATAATACCTCTTTGGGGTTTAAAAGTTTGCTTTATAGTCATCATTATGATTAACAAGAGTGGTTAGCAACAATTTTGAGGCTGATCACTGATTATTTGTATATTAGTCTATATCTTCTCTTCATGAGTAATTTTTTTTTGCCAATATCTATAAGCTTGCTTCCATTTAGTATAAACCAATTGTGTTTTGTGATTCAGTTAATGTGGGAAGGACTTGGGCTAGGAGGTGGGGATGCCCTGGGGAACTGGAACAGGTATATCTATGGTAGCTTGATCATTACCTCGACATAAAGAAAAGAAAGTAGTACGATCAAAACTAATGTGGATTGTTTTATGGTGGACAGTGAAACCGGAAAGAGGAAAGTTCTTTTAGGGATTGGAGGTGGACATTATGCTCCTCGTCACATGGATATAGTTTTGTATGTTGTCAAGAACTCTGCTTTGTGTGGTCACAACATTGAATCAGTTCTTTGTCTAATTGTTTTAATTCTGAATTCATCAGGAAAGACGATATTTGGGTAGCCCATTTGCTTTCTGGCTACTCATTGCCGATGGAAGATCCAACTCAAACCAATCCTAAAGAGAATCAAATTGGTGGAAATTGGAGACAATCAATTAAGGCAGCATATGAAGCTACTAAAGCAGCATTCCCTGGAGGCGAGATCCTGGCTCATCTTGACCAAAAGTAATGTCTAAATTCAATCTCCACCTAATATTGTTTCATCCTCACAGTGAACTACGAGTAAAAGGTTTTGTTTTGTTTACTTACAGGAGCTTCAAAGGATGGCAAAAGAAGGCCATTACAGAGTTCTTGGCAGAAGAGAGCATCAATGTCGGGAAGCCAAACGATTTCACATGAACTTTGAGACTCAAAAAACATATTTAAGATCTGATTCTTGGTTTGTTCACACAATCTATCATTTGACTAAGTTGAGATTGATATTCATCTGTAAGCTCTATTTTTTAAATTCACTTCTTGTTTTATGATAGAAGAAGAATAAAACATGAAAAGACAAAAACAAATGTAGAATAAAACAGAAGCTGAGTTGAGTTTTGTATTTGTAACTATAGAGTATTGGACGATATATTGTCTGTAATTCCAAAATTTCAAGTGTCTAGACTGTATTTCTCTGAGAAAAATCAACAAAGTTTCAGAAGCTAAGAGCAACAAGTAGGTTCAGAGTCTGGGAGATTGAATCATAGATTCTTTTGACCTTTTGATGATCCCCAGAAATAGCTCATGATGCCTATCTTCTTCTTCATCCTGTTTTCAATATCTGGGAACTTGATGCAGTTGTAGGCAAGGTCTAGGACTATTGGATTACGCGGTATAGATTGGAATGCCGGTGGGAACCGTTCAATCTTTGCGGCGGTTTTTGTGTTTGAATCCCCAACTGCAGATTCATACACATCCAGTTTGTCTAACAGGTATTTCTCCGCCTGGTTTTAACATTATAACGGGAATAAAAAAAAAACATTAGACTGCCAAGAGTATTTATATGGTGGAAGAAATAAACTAGGCATAGACATAAGGCGAGGAAATCATTTTTTTTTATACCATCAGCCACTATTCAAGAGAGCAAGATAGGGAGATTGTACCTTTGCAGCTGTATCGTTTAGTGATATAGTTGAAATTTGATTTGACAGATTCTCTGGAGCATTCTCTTCCTCCATAATCCCTGTCGCATGCTCTATGCAACTGTTAGCTCTGCATTCTTTGATCAGTGTCTTCAGTTCCTGGATTGTTCCCTGAGCGTTATTACAAAAACTTTAGTCAAAATTTCATATATTTTCAGTGAAAAGAATATTCAAAGATATTCAGTCGACATAAGGTAACATAGTATATTGCAATTCAAAATGACTATGGAAGCCATGTATGAAGTGACCATAAATGATGAGCTCGACACCTCATCTTTCTTTGCTATGCTTATAAACTTGTTCAGAGCATCTTCAGCAAGAGATCGAGCACGGCAATACAAGGCGAATGCTTCAACCTTCTTTCCTGCTAGACTATATGACTTTGCCAAATAGAAGCACCTGAAAGAGATTTGAGAACATGTCATTAGCAAATTCAGTCAAGGGCAATGAAAACATAGTATGTATCAGTACATATACTGTAAAGAACCACGTGATATGGAATGCAATAAGTGGTTATAATGAAGACCAAGATGTAGTCAAAGAGGATAACTGACCATGAAACTGATTCTTAATTTAGTTAATAAATTTTACTAATATTACCTAGAGCTAAGGATTAAGATAAATGGCTTAAGAGGAGCTTAACTCTAACAAAAGGTGCTAAAATCAACTAATCAAGTGAATCGTCAAGGATGCTAAAATCATGTGAACTTTAAAGGAAGTCCACATCTCAATAGAAACCGCCCTAGTAATAAAAACAATAATGTGAGAGCATTAAACCTTTCAGCACGGAAGGCCAAGCTTTGGCGCTGGCACTCTTCTTCAAAGGCAATCTCTTCAGGTTTCCTGTCTCTTCCAGAGCTAATGAGATCAGAAAGATCAGCGACATTCTGAGAAAAAAAGAAACACAGGTGACATCTCCAGCTGGTATAACAAACAAAATCTGCTTCTGAAGAAAAAAAGTGGTGAACGTTGGTTACCTGTAATAGAAGGTCATACAATCGAACAAGCTCTTCAGGCCTAGTAACCTTTTCACTTTTATCATCACGTTTCCTGTTCAGTTTACTCTTTGCTACTTTAACCAACAACTGGTTCCGTTCAATGGTTCTCTGTCCTAGCACAGCTCCAACAGCTTTGTCCAAACCATTTAGGTCATCTTTAACAGATTCAGCATTTCCTGCACTTACCTAAAAATAGTATGCTCCTCCGTTAAATCAATTAGAAAAAACAGTAATGCAACAGAAAAACAGACGCTCTTACTCGTTGGGATGAACTAACTTGTCTGCGCCTTCAAAAATCTTAAGAAAGGCAAACCTTTTTGATGAACCCATTTAATAAATCAGAAGATGTCTTGTAAATTCACTCACCAAGTCGCTGCGTATGGTGTTCCTGGCATCTTGATATGCAGTGAATAATCTATCAAAAATTGTAAGCTTTTTCTCTGCAGGGAGGGATTCTGCTGTCGGACCCTGAAGCCCCTTCTCAAGTTCCTGGGCTGAACAAGGAACAAAGAATAAGACCCTCAGAGAGATGCTCAACATTCTATAACTTATCTTAATAGGCTAACGCATAACAGTAACCCCATTGTAGAGGTAAACCAAACTTTTTCTATGTCTAGGAGTATGCTACTAGACACAAGTTTTCAGTATAATTCAGTAATTCAAAAAGAGTGGATAAGGAAAAAGTTAGTCGAACCTTTTAAAATAGAAACCCGAGATTTTGGGTTGGAAACTGGAAATCTATAGCCAAGCCAATTAAACTCTGTAAGAGATGCAGCTTGTTGAGATCTGGCCTCTTCCATCGCAGCCTACGTGACAGTGAGTATATACATCATAGACCAAAATGTGTGAGGTAGGGAGCTGAGAAATAGTTCATCACTAAACGTCTATACCATAGCAAGACAATTAAGAGAGCCAAGATAATACACATGCAATACTTTTTCATGTGTGTTGCACAGGTCAAAAGCGAAACTCTAAGGTCCTAACAACAGATGGAAAAACTAACAAACCAAAATTTTCTGCTGCAGATCATTGAAACATACAGATACAGTTACTCACTTGCTTTGGTGGGGGCGCTGACAGAAACATAATATTTTTGACCATGTATATTTATACATACCTCTATTTTTGCTTTGAAAAGATCCAATGCAGGGCCTTCCATCTCACCAATCTGAAGAAGTTCAGATGTCTGCAAGTTTGACTTGCCAATTTTGTGAAGGCAGTATCGAATACTAGGCTCAAGCTCCTCAACCCGTTCCCGGCAAAGAACTTGGTTCTCTAGATCTCCATATTTCCCAAGTTCCTCATAAACAGCTCTGCCACAGGGTGTTCAGAAACAATATCTACTAGATTGCAAAATGAGCATATATTTAAATAAGACAAACCTGGCGTTTTTGAAACATGCCAAACCAGTTTCCCAATTTTGATCTTGCTCAAACAACAGGGTACCTTTCATATAGGATGCATATGCCTATAAAACAGTAAGATATAGTATGACGACTTATGTCAAGCGTTTACAGAGTAAACACACACGTTTTACATAAACAACTATGCTAAAAGCAGGTATCATCTTCTTCCTTTCAAAGCAGCAGATGAAAATTTATGAATACTGCAACACATGGGGGGTCATAGAAATACCTCAGCTTCCAGAGATGTTCTGGAATCTGTCTTAATAGAGCACAAACTTGAGAAAAGGGAAGCCCATTTAACAGCTTTCCTCAGCCTACCAATCAAATATATCGTTTGCCGTGCATTAGGCCCATCTGGTAGCTGTCTTTTTTCCATTGCATGGCTCCATGCTCTTTCCGCCATATAGAAAACCACATGAAGGAACCTATTTCAATATAAAGACATAGACATTAACTCAAATGTGTTAACTTCTAGTGGAAGTAGCAACTGAGCCTTCACATTCTTCCTATACATTGTTCAGCTAAACACAAAAATCACACTGAGCCAACAAAATCCTTAGCTTGGAAGAAGGAATAAGGATGAGAGCAAGATAGATACCTAACATGAGTGACAGTTGAATCAAGTATGGGTCGTCGAGTGTATTTGCCACGGCCATGAGTGAATTTCAAGGACTTGTATAACCTCGTCAACCGTGATGAGCAGTACCTCCTACACAACAAAAATAACACAGATTACCAAAAAGGACCTAAATTTATGAAGTAGGGCAATGAGATTAGGATTTCTCGTATTGATACCGATAGCGAGCATAGTCACCATGACGCAGACCATGTTGAGCCTGAGAAGATTTCATCAACTGCAGAACTGAACAATGTCGCATAGGTTAAAAAAACTACGATTGAAGGATGCAGATACTTAATCAAACCCTATTGTCTATAAAACTCAATCCACATTCAAAAGCACTAACAAGAAGCAATTGGGTATATTTGCATAGCCTGGAAAAAACAAACACTAACCATTGATCGAGAACTTAGCAAGGATCTGGTCAGAGCTTTCGGATTTCGGATCGTCGATCTCCATTGCAGACACCTCGCTCTCCTTTTTCGCCATTAATCCACACTAATTCTTGTTCAAAACCAACACCTCGCTACAAAATTCCACACCGAAAGAAAACAACAAAACACCACGCTCTCTATATATATATTTGTTCAGTTTGCGTTATTTTGAAAAGTAAAAAAAAAAAAAGAAAAAAGGTACTATTGGCGTTTTTCTAAGAGGGGTTATTAACCCATGGATCGTAATCATATGTTTGATCAGCTATTACCCATCGGATTTTGACAAATTACGCACTAGAAGAAAAAAAGGATAATTTTTGAAAAATACCCCTTTTGGTTTACCTCTTTTTAAAAATACTATTTTTATCTATCTATTTTCAAAAATATCCTTTTTTAAATATAAAAAATTATAAAGTTTTATATAATTTATAAGGTACTTCTATATAATAACTACTACTGCGAGATTTGATACAAATATTTTAAAATGTTTTAAATAGTTTTAAATTGTTTTTATAAGTTTTATAAGGTTTTTAAAAGGTTTTTAAAAAGGTTTATACGGTTTTTATAAGGTTTTTATAAAGTTTTTATAATTTATTTTTACGCTATTTATGAAAGGTATATAAAGTTTTATACGCATATAAAGGTAATTTGTGTATATATTTATAAGCTTACACACATATTTGGATAAATTTCAATATTTTTAGTGGGTTTTTTGATAAAGTTTGAAAATGGGGTATTTTTAAAAAGAGGTATATGAAAGGGGTATTTTTGAAATTCCCCCAAGAAAAAAACTGTTTTATATATTTTTAATTTATAATAAAGAAAAGAAAATTCAATATTCATATGTTTAATACTTTGCTAAACATGTATTTTAATGATGACAAAAAAAAAC